AGATTTTAACTATAAATTTCGTTTTCTGTCTCCAACTAAGAAAAAGTAAATTCAATTCCTCAATAGTACTATCAGTAAAGTACTGAGAAGATGTCAATATTGGAACATACTGATAGAAACGGTGAACACAGGTAAGTGGTCCGTACTATGAGATACTAGTATCGTGAATATACTAGAACATACTACAGAGAAAGTAAGTATCGTACTTAAATTAGCTGCCATTTAACAAAGCTCATGTAAATGTGTTTGAGTAACTAAATACAAAGATCACAAAAATACTTAAAAGTGGTTACTTTTCCGGAAAATTTCTACATGAGTTACTAGAAATCGAATTCAAGTTTTTCTCATTTTCTTGAACGTTGGCGAACGCCCTTTATAAATGGTATCTTGAAGTAAACACCCCTTGAATCTTTGACCATTCTTTGGCTCATGTTTTGTGTCGAGATTCATTACCACAGAAGATGTTAAATAGCATCTAATTGCGGCATACCATGAATCTGTGATACGAGATCTTGACCTAAAGTACCCGAAGAGATGACGAAAGCTTTTTCGTCATTCATATCATTGAGGCATTTGATACATTGTGCTGGCTCTTTACAGATTGTCACTTCGTTTACGACACTGTGCAATTGCGCAAGTGTATTTTGACAATCATTATTTGCTTCATTAATATTACCATCAACCCAAATGAGATAATAATTCTGTATCATATGTTGTTTTGGTAGGATAGTATCTGACGATGTTGTCGTACATGCGGCAGCACCCACTGTTTATTTGGAAACTCATTGTTTGAATTTTTGTCCACCCATATTGAGTACGAATAGCCGCTTGATCGGTAGTTCAGAATGGTGAATAGTTGTTTGTTATTTACACACACATTACCACGTTTATTTATACAGTTGATGTCTTGTTTTTTTCTAGATTTTTCTGCGACGTCAAATGTGGGTTGTGTTTTCGCTGACACTCCACGACAAACTCCACCTAATTTCGATTGAAAATATGGTTGTCAACAACAAATGAAAGAGAAAAAATCTAACAACATCATTTATTTTATCGTTATTCTTTCCAATCTGTCTTTGCTATTCATCTATGCAGTGGCTTAAGTGTCATTGGGTTGAATACGTTTGACTAGTTTATTGTTTACTTCTTATGATCCTTTCCAAGAACGACAACTTTTGCTCATTCGGGCAAGAACGAAAAAAAAGAACAAATATCGCCAAATTCGATTTTTTTAATGATGATTATAATAAATATTCTGATAATTTACACGGAACAATAGAAAACATATTTTACTTTTATTGAAGCAGCAATCGAGCAACGATTTCAGCGATATGTATTGTGCTGTGTGATTACTCTAGGAATTAGGAATTGTCTAGTTGGAGTTCGAATGTAATTGAATATTGAAGTACGTATTATTACTTCCAAAAAATGAATAATACACCTAAATGAATGTTATACACATAAATATATAACAAATAAGCAAAAGTTTTAGCAGTGACTGGATTCCATGAATTTTGAACTACTGTAGCTCACAAAAGTACAGCATAACTAAAGGCACGATTGAAACTTACGGAATTGTAAGGGTGTGGGTGTGGGTTATGCTTTCGGTTCTCTCTACACCTGCAGGTGTATCCATATTTGAATACCCACAAGAAAGGCTATCGCTTATATTCATTATCTATTACAGCATTTCTCGTATCCCGAATTTTCATGATGTAAGATGCCATTGAGATTGTTTGCAATGTTTCGGGTAAACAACGTGTAATGGCATCAATTTCGTTTGAAATATTAAGATTAACACGTTACCTAAATCTCAACAAATTATAGAGCTCTTAGAGTTACTTCAGTTGTTGGAGTTGCTTGAACTTCGAAACTTTTTTGATTTCTGAGGATTCTGTGAGTTCAAAGAGTTTTGAGGGTTTTGTAAACGAAGTTGCACTTTCGACAGTTTTATGTGATCAAAACTTATGAAATTTGGACACGTCTCAAACGTATATCAGTTGACTTGTATGCATACAAAAGAGCGCCCTATAGGCTTGCATACAATTGATAAATAATGAAAAGTATCGCTGATATTTTTTTAACTCAAATCGGCTGAGATATTAAAGATAAGAAGCTTTCTCTCTTAATTCAAAAGTAAGAAGAAAAAAAACTTTCATTGTAGCGCAAGCCGCATGTCTTTGCACAAACACAGAAATTTATTCCGAGAATAAAAAAGTTCATCGTAACGTTGATTACATTATTCTCTTAGGTTTCTTCTGAAACTGGAACTATGACAAACAAGAAAAGCCAACAGAAAACTACATTGACAACCAACGAGCCAAAGAAACAAAAACACTAATGCAATTTTGTTATTGTTACCATCAGTGTTTTTATCTTCTAGTGAATGAAAATGTTAGGATAGAGAATATCTAAACAAAAGACTGCTGAAGAAAAGTGAAATTGCATTTTTCTTACTTCCTTTTTTTCTTTCGATGTGATTGCATCTCATCAACAGTTTTTTTTTGCCATTGTCTGTCTATGTCTATCTATCGATTTGACGTGTTTGTGTCAAGAAAAATGCATCAAAATCAATTCAACACCGTTCATTACATTATATTCGTTTCGTTTTTCTTCATGATCATTGATTCATAAGCATCTAATTTCCAAAAAAATCTATAAACTAAATATGATTCACACCATGTGACAAGAACAATTTGAAACTTATCATGATGTGAATAGAGATTTTTTTTCAGAAGTTTTTTTCTTAGTTAGCATAAATGTTTATATGTGGAAAAAAAGGCAATGATGATGGAGAAAATATTGGTAAGAAATGAAACAAAAATATTACTGAAACTTTAACTTAGAATAAAGAAAGTCTAAAATTCTAGTACTTTTTTCAGTTGGCAACTATATTGACGATCATGTAGCTGATTTGCTTTCATCTTTGCATGTGCAATGCTGCTACTCGGGTAAGTCAGTGGAGTCAAATCCGAAAAGGAATTCATTGTCGATCGGTATTGACAAGTTGATTAAGATGAAATGCAGAAAAAAGTCATCGACTATGCAGAAACTAGCAAAATTAAGTTAATGAATGGCTTAATATTCAGCTTTTTTATCTCAGATTCGAAGATAATGTAATACCAACATGGGCTATTATCACCGACATTTGTGTCATAACCGACCATGGTAACAGACACAGAGCTTTGATATACGAAATTTATCATCATTTCTAAGCAAAGAATCGGAAATACTAGAATATGTCATGAAGTAACAGTTAGATATAGGCAGAATGTTCTCTACTAACATAAGTGAAACTATCACAAAATATTATTTTCAAAATAAGACATGAATGCTTTCTTCTACCAAGAATATTTTCATCTACTATCGGAACTTTTGAAGCTCTGCAAATAATCTTCGACAAGAATGTGATTGAGAAAATCACGTCTGTGGTAAAACCAATCCCTCACAACAAATAACTATGGAGTATTTGTAGGATGTGTTGATGTGAGTGTCCTCTGAATCCACAAACACATCCTGTCAGTTTTCTTCATTGAAGAACAAGATTTGTGAGCTTCAAACAGTTCTTTTGAAATAAAAGAAAGGCAACAAAGACCTCTCTATAAAAATTTCAAGTGTAGTGAGACAATAGCATTGATTATCAACATTTAGCTGCAGGAAAAGTTTACGTATACAATGAAGGGGATGCAAAATTATCATTCAACGAAAATCAAAATTTAATACACGAAAAAGAAGTGAAAAATATGCGAAATCTTGCTTGACAACAAAGTAGTGTCATAGTAATTTGAAACTTTCAAAGGCTAAAAGTAATACGACCTATCTAAACTATGAGAGTGTGAGTGTGTGTATAGCTATCGTATTCTTCCACATTCACACTATTCAATCAAATAGTTTCTTCTGCACAATATATGTATTCATTTGTGTCATTCAGTAGAACAACAATCCAATGAAAACTCGATTTCAAGAATAATAAGATATCATAGAACGTGTAGATATTCTTTTAACATCTATTGATTATTTATATTGAAACAATCAATAATGATGTATTAAAGAGATGAAATTCTAATTGCATGAATTCCATTTTACATATTGACAACAGTTTATCATCAAGTTGAGCATGAATAAGAAAATATTCTAAGTGAAAATGTTAATAATTTCAACTGAATATTTCGTAGTTCTTTCATCAACCCGATAATGAAACCCATGACAAACTTCTACATTGTAAATACTGTTGAAACTGATGAAAATCGCTCAGTGTAGCAGTGTTCATAAAGAAGAGAGTTAAGCAAATATAAATTTCATCATGCTCTCTCTCCTTTTAAGCGATTTTTATTATCTTATTAAATAGTTTTGACTTTTAGTACTTTAAATTTTTGAATTAGATGAATTTCAAACATCAGGTGAAGATCCTACCTAATCCGATTTTGAACACTGAGGGTGGAATTCTTCTAATCATAATAGAACCTATCTAATGAGTAGTGTTTAGTCTCCAGCACGTGGTACCACTCGAATAGGTTCCCTTGTAAGAAAGTTTTTAACCATACTTGATCTTCTAATCAATCTCATCGACTTAGCATCTTTAAAATAATCTATCTATCACATCAGTTGAAATATTACTATATAGTAATTCTTTATAGTACGCTCAAGTTCTCTATTCTCAAAAGCTGATCTCATGCATTTTTAAATTTCTTATCAACAACATGAAAAAATATCACATTTTCTTCCTCTTTTTTTTTAATGAGATTTTTCATTTGTAAATAAATTTTAAACAAAAACATAAGAAAAGTTAAACTTTCATTCACTATCTGTAATAATTAACACATTCATATTCCACTTTCATACAATGACACAAAGTTCATCTCCATAATATGTATTTAATATCGTAGAAAAAAAAAACTGTCGAGCATATATATAATATGAATATATATACTAGTGACGGATACACTCATACACACACACACAAATATATAAAGAAACATGTACATAAAAGATGAATATTGTCAAGATTCCATCATTGAAAATCGTGCACGTGCAACTTTTCGTACAACATCTTTATATGAATCTCCTGGTTCAGCATTATATTTAAGTCGTTGATCAGCACCAAGGCCAAGTCCTCTTTGTCTCATTTCAGCCTAGAGAGAGAGAGAGAGAGAGAAGATAAAAAGTTTTTTCTTATCTTCGCTTTTAAAATGAATACATACTTCAAGAGGATCAGCTCGACCTTGTAATTTTTTTCCTAAACCTTGACCTTCTTGCCAACCATGTTTTTTCATTAATTTTGAACCAATACTATCTGATGATGATGATGATTGATCTATAGAATTTAGAGATATAAATCTTAATTAGACAAGAAAAAGAATATTAAACTATTTACTTTGATTATGTGTTCGACGTGAACTTGTTGAATATGATGATCGTTCACGAACAGGTGAATAATCATTTCGTTTACTTGAATCATCTATTCCAAATGCTTCTCGACGTTCTTTCGCACGATCACGATACACAAGCTAAAGAAATTTTTATAAAATTTTCAAATAAAAATAAAAGAAAAGCATATCAATACATACTGGTTGTGATCGAACAATACCGGCTTTTGCTAAATTTTCCTAAATAAAAAATTTATTAAATAGATAAAATGCAACTACAAGTTTTCGTATAATTTTTGACTACAGAACGACATGTATGTAGAATGACGATCTATCAAGAGATGGCGCCATATTTGCCGCTACTACAATAGAATATGGCACAATCTATGGACATATCAATAGTACGCAGTAGAACTTGATAATGCTTATATAATTAGATAGAGGAAGTTTTTCTCATCAATCTTACATATATCTTGTTTTCTAGTCAAAAGCTTATAGTTGTCTTTGATATATTACTTTATGAAGATTTGACATTTGTAAATGTTTTTCAAGTATTTCACGTGTATCAAATTGTCGTTGACATAGAAGACATGCTAATTTATTCCAATCAACTAATTTTTCTTCACTACTATCAAGAACATTTGTACTTGTTGTTGTTGTTGTTGAAGATTTTGGTGTATTATTATTATCCTTATCATCATTATCCGAATCAGGATTCTCAAATGCTGCTAATAAAGCTGGTCGATTTGTTGTAGATGTACTACTATTAGATGACATTAAATTTAATGATATTAAACCACCAGTTGGTCGACTTGATGGAAGGCCAACTTCAGCGAATGATGATGCTCCTGTTGAAGATGGATTTGTAGATGTTGAATCATTAGTATTTACTGTTGCTGTTGGTATAGCAGCAGCAGCTGCTGCTTGAGCTTTGCGTTTAGCTTCTTTTTCTTTTCTTTCACGTTCTTTTTTAGCCCATTGTTCCATTTCCTGTAATAAACAAATGAATTATTCGAAAAAGTCAAAAACAAATATCGGAGACATACTTTTGCAACTTTTTGAGCATTTTTGACTTTTTCAGATTTATCCTTTGGTTCAGTTGCTGTTGTATTAGTATTTGTAGCTTCATTTGTAACTGTTGTTGTTGTTGTTGCTGTATCTTCAACAGGTATATATGCTGATTTAGCTGGATCCCAATACATATATTTTTGTGTTGTTGGATTATAAAAATATGATGATTTAGCATCAAAATAAAATCCTGTTTTTTTATCAAAATGATAACCAACTTCTGGATACCATTCAAATTTTGATGGATCTGGTGTTGTATGTTGTTCGGATTCTTTTGTTGAACGTTGTCTTCTTTTGTGTGGATTTGATGATGAATCACTTGAATAATCACTACTTGAACGATTGCGTCGACGTTGTGGACGAGTATAATCACGTTGTTTTTGAGCATGAATATTTTGTAATGCTTGTTGAGCAATGTCAGCTGCAGTAAGTGTTCGATCGACTAAAAAAAAACGTATTCATTTTTAAGCAAAACTTGTATTAACATTAAATTTGAATAGATTGTTCGGATTTATTCAGAGAAAATTTGAAAGATTATAATATTATGCCTATGCTTGAGTTTTTTACTTTCTTATTGAACACATTCTTATTAATTGTGAGACATAAAAATTTCTAGTGATATGTATATCGAATATTCATTTACCATTATTTGATGGAAGTAATTGACCAACATTTGATGAACGATCCTATTAAAATAAATTATTATAAGAGAAGGCAAAGCAAAAAAAATTAAATTTTTACATGATCATGTCGATGACGATTTCGAGATGATGTTGATCGTCTTGAATAAAAATCTTCATCTTCATCTTGAATTTGTGCAAGTCTTAAAAAGAAAATGAATTATAAAAATTAAAAAAAAAAGATATTTTTATTATTAAAAGAAAAAATTTACGATGTTGCAAAATTATTTTTTGAAAAATGAACTATAACAGCTTTTCCTTCAATTTCAACTCCAGGTGTTGTTGTTTGTAATTTTTCATAAACTAATACAGAATCCTTGAAAAAGAAAATCATTTCTTATTTTTAAATTAATCTTAAAAAAACAAAACATTTTAATATTACATGTATTGAATTATATTCAACAAAAGCAAAACCACGTGATACACCGGTATAATTATCTTTAACAATTGCAGAATTTTTCATTGGTACTAATGTTAGTTCAAGTAATTTAGTTTCAATTGTTTCTTTAGATGTTAAAATATCTAAACCACGCAGTACCAATGCTAAAATGAAAATAAATGAATATTATTAAAAAAAAAAGAAAAGATAAATTGTTTATTTCTTACTATTGCATGGATTTAAGCCAACAAATGAAAATCCATCAAGATCTCGTGTTCGTTCCGAGTCTATAAGAAATTCCAGAAAAACGTTTTCTTTTTTTATTTAATTTTCATTATAAATATTTTGTCTCTTTTTGCTTTGTTCATTTGATTTGGATTATATATATATATATAAATTATTATTCTTTCCCCACATACCTTCACGCGATATATGACAATTAAAACAATGATCACGTCGTTTAAAATTTTGTACACCACACTATATGAACAAAAAAAAGACAATCAAATCATTGAAAAAAAAAAGAATTTATTTACTTTATAACAATCCCAATCACGAAGACGCAATTCATTGATATTATTACGTTGATAATCTCGATGATTAGTAGTATTGTTGTTGGTATTTATCGATGATGAATCGTCGTCGAATCGATGTGTCAGTGTAACAGGATGATCGTTGAGAACAAATGTACCCTGAATGAAAATGAACAGTAGGGATTGATTCGAGTGTCCAAATAAATTCTCGACGAATATAGTTATATATCTGTGTGTATACATATATATGTATATATATATATATGCTGCCGTCCATTGTATTAAAGACGGCACTCCCACCAATAGATAGAAACAAGAATGATGGAATATTTAGGTTTTTGTTTGAACCTGCGTTAAATTCATCCATTGTTCAGCTTCTTGAACCGTATTGAATTCGACGTAAGCCGTTTGAAGATTTGTTGCTATAATAAAATAACTAACATAAAACAAAGTTTTTTTTTTTTTTTTTTGTATTTACCAGGATCTCTACGATGAATTATACGAATTTCTTGTAGTTGTACTTTAGCAATCGATAATTCAGATAAAAGCTAAAAATACAAAAAAAAATCATAGTTTTTCTTGTTTCAATTAAAATAGTTAATATCTAGATAAATTAAATTGATAGGATTGTATAGTATACAGAATTCTTTGTTTTCTTGAGATTTATCTTTTGACAATCTATAATGTCGTGCACTTGAATTCTAAATTGATCTTCTTTGGTTGTGATATTTGAATGTCAACGAATTCATTCACTCAACTATTTGACAAATTGACGTTACATTTTCAATGAAAATAAACCTTGATCAAATTGAACCAAAGTTAATACTCAAGATAAAAGTAATCAAGAAATATTTCTCATAAGTTTTATAATGAAAATCAAATGATTATAACAAGGACAGATCTTCCAAGGATAAATTCCGAAAAGTTCTACTCATAATTACAATCGATAGGAGTTTTCCTCCATAACAATGCCCGTTCGACAAAAGCAGATCGCATGACACATCACTGAGTCATTCTTTTTTTGTTTCTGTCGCATCCTATAACCGTCAAATCAATCCTTCGATTAGTCGTATCTGTCTCTTAATCACTATTGTAATCACATAAGTGCCTTTCAATGGTATTTCTTCATGTCATATTAAATACTACATGACGAAGTACTTTTCATGATTAGGAACACCAACTGTCATGTGTTACCGAAACAAAAAAGAAAACAACAAGTAAAAAACTTGAAAATTTCTCGATCGGCTCTTCTCTATTATAACTCTGATAATCGTTTAAAACTGAAAAAAACAAACAAACAAAATGGTAAACCTCATGTTCATCGAAAGTCAATGGAATGTTATGCATAATAATTGTACTAGTTGGTTTCGGTTCATGTTTTTCAACCTAAAATCAAAGAAGAGAAAATTATTTTAACACTTTTATCTTTTTTTCATACAAAAAAAAACAAAGAACAAGAAAAATTATTCTTTTTTTACCGATATTCGTCGTTTTCGATCTCGACTCTTACTACGAGTTGTTGAACTACGACTTGAACTAGCTGATGAATGTCGTCGACGACGACGATGATTGGTATCATTATTTTTATCAGATTGTTTACGTTTTCGTCGTCGTTCACTTTCACTTGATGATGAACGTGAATATGATCGACGATGTTTTGTTTTTGATTTATTATTTGATCGATAACGACTACGATGCTCAGAATCTGAACCAGATTCAATTGGATCAAGTGGATGTCGATGATGACGATGTCGAGCATTTCCACTTTGATTACGATGAGATTTTTTTTCTTCTGAACTTGATCTAAATATTTATACAAAAACAAAATAAGACTTAATTAACAAAAAAAAGAAATTTCTTATTAGTTTTACCTTCGAGTATTTTCATGAAGAAATGATGATATACGTTCTTGTTCAGCACGAGTTTTAAGCGAATGACCTGATGACATATCGTCTGGACTTAAACTAGCTTGATGCATGCAATTTCAATTACACTTAGGCAAAAATAAATAAATAAATGAATGCGTAGTGCATAAGACAAAGTAAAATAAATAACGAAACAAATCAACATATGATATGATTGGTAAATTATTTAATAAAAAAAAATTTTTTTATTATTAAATTAAAAGAAAATATTTAGATTATTATTTTTGCATGTTTTTATTTAAATTTAAAAAAAAATGAAGAAAATTTATTATGGCAGCACAATCAATGTTAAATTATATTCGATTGTAGCACGAGAGTTTTTTTGTCCTTGATCTGGCACCGGATGTATGGTAGACAACTAGAAAAAAAATCCTTGATGATATTCCCTCCCACGACCTTGTGTGATCTTCAGATCTGATTTTTTTTTATTCATAAAGACATCAGTCTCCTAGAGCTATTTTTCTAGTATTTTCTTTCATTTAGATATATCCTATTCACTCTTGAGTAATTGTTTATTGCTTCTTTCCATAATATAATGCTTTGTGATGATCTTCTATGTAAGTTTTCCTTCGCTTTTTTTTCTTTTGCTCTTTTCTTCACATTATGGACAATTTATTATATTTTTTCTTTTAGTCTCCTATTATTGTCATTCCATTATCTATTTATCGAAACATTCTAGCAATAAAATCTTGATAAATTAATCAAGTACGATGTTTAGTCCATTGACTTATTCGTATGTAGTGGATGATGAGTATGATACACGTAAGAATTAAACGAAAGCAAAACAAAAGAACGCAACAATCTTAATTATTCTTTTTCATTTTTATTTAAGTCCCGCCGTTACCACCCCAAATGAAAGCACCACCAAAAAAAGCAGTAAGATCATTTGCTTGCTTTTCTTTTTTTTAATGTTTATCATTGATTTAAATATATCAAACTTAGGCACATATACTTGATATACCAACTGGTAATAGTCCATGGAATGCTGTTTTAAAACAAGCCGAAATACGGCGACGTAAACGTCGACAAACAACACCTGAACATCCACGTCGAGCTTTATTTTGTTTGACACTTGATAATAAATTGCGTCGAACGTGTATTAAATTAGTTGAATGGAAGTATGTATTCAATAAAATTTTCTTGTTGTTTTGTTCTTATAATGTTCTTTTTCTTTTTTATTGTATAGACCTTTCGAATATCTAGTATTGTTTACAATTTTTTGTAATTGTGCAGCATTAGCTCTTAGTAAACCATTACCAAATAATGATACAACACCAACAAATTCTATTTTGGTATGCAGAAAATTATTAATAGATGATCAGAAAATTTTTAAATAAGATGTCTATTTACATTTGACCTATGAGAAAATATTTTTGACGTTAATTACGATGCTCTTGATGTATTTACAGACTTAAAAATTTTGTCTTAATGAAATAANCGATATGTTGTATGTTAGCCCAATTAATTGTGAGATTATATCGCCATAAATCGTAAAAAGTGCCGATTTTTGCTAATTTTCACAGAAAAATCGCCATTTATGCTAAACTTCGACGATATAATTATCAAATGCTAGCGATTAATCGGCAATTTTTATATAATTGCGGAGAACCGTCAAAAGTGAGGCGATTTTGAGGACATGGATTAGTAACTATTGATAAGAACTTTTTTATAATCATGAAAAATGTTGGTTAAAAATATAAATTTCGCAGTATTAAAAAAAAAAGCAGAAAAATTCTCAAAAAAGCAGAATTTTTCTGCTAAAAGCAGAAGAGGTGGCAGGCCTGCTCTAGACCCTTTAATATATATCCTTATAAGTTTTCTCTAATCTCCATAGAATCTAAATAATGAAGTAAGAAATTTATCGCCTGCTGAGATTTCCTTGTTAGCCCAATAATGTTGTCTTCTACATTGTAATTTGTCAATGAGATTTTTAATAATATTGTTTTTTTTATTATTATTTAGATGTTTGGTAAAATAGCTTTGGATGAAGCGACATCAATAAATGAAAATAATAATTTTCAAACATTTTTCCATTCATTACTTGTACTTTTTCGGTAATTGAAAAAGTTTTTATTTTATGATGAAATTCTACTCTGTTTTGTTTTAATTAGTTCCGCAACAGGAGAAGCTTGGCAAGAAATTATGTATGATTGTGGACCAAATGGAGGTGCGAAATGTGATAATCGGTCACGATCGAAAAACGATGAAAGTTGTGCAAGTTCTTTTGCAATTCCATATTTCTTATCGTTCTACATACTTTGTTCATTTTTAGTAAGATCAAAGCTAATATCTTTTTTTTAATTAAAAAAAAAAAACCAATCACTTTTTAAAAATAGATTATCAACTTATTCGTCGCTGTTATTATGGATAATTTTGATTATTTAACTCGTGATTGGTCTATTCTGGGACCTCATCACCTGGATGAATTTGTTCGTCTATGGTCAGAATATGATCCAGAAGCCAAGTAAGAAATATTTACCTATTCTCTTTTCCTTCTCTTAATTTAAAATTTACAAAAAAAAATCAAAATAATAAAACTTCTCATAGAGGACGTATAAAACATCTTGAAGTAGTTATTCTACTTCGAAGTATCACGCCACCGTTAGGGTTCGGAAAATTCTGTCCCCATCGGACTGCGTGCAAGGTATATTCTATTGTTTAAATATTGTCATTTTATATGTATAGATATTTGAACATTTCAATATATCACATATCTTTCTGTTTTTCTAAATATTCTATATTTATTTCCGTGTCCCGATTTAATTGTATTTGTATTTTGTATTGCATTTATGTATTATATGTGCTTTTGTTGTTGTTTTATTCAGAGGACGTATCAAACATCTCGATGTAATAACATTATTGAGAAAAATTTCACCGCCACTCGGTTTCGGCAAACTTTGTCCACATAGAGTGGCTTGCAAGGTATTCATTTATTGTTGTTTTTATTTGTTATTAAAGAATTTTTATTACTTATTGATATTTAATATGAATTTAATTGATTTCTTTTTTTTTTTCGGTTTGACATGAATTTTTAATGATAATCATCGGAAAAAAATTTAAGCTTATAAGAGAACATTTTTAACTTTCGCTTGGAATTCTTGCCATTCGATTGATTAATAATGAGTAGTAAAAAAAAAAAATCTGTTTTATTTTGGTTCTTGAGTTTTCGTTTATCAAATTATTGGCCTATGAGCATAGAATCGTTAGGAACCTGAATGATTGAATTTCAAGCTGAAATTTCATTCATAAATAAACCTTTTAGTCGGAACGAATGTATCGTTGTTAACATGTTTGCATTTTAAAGAAACATCTGTTTAGAGGCTAGATTTAAAATAAAAAGCGTTTCCATGAAAAGAGTATATCTTTTACTAATCGAATACTAATAGTCTCAAGCGAAAGAAACGATTAAATATTTTGAAAATTTTAATTATTAGTTCCACTATCTAAATATATTCAATTTGATTAGATTCTGACATTCTTCAAAAACAAAACTTGAAGCTCCGATTAAATCAATAATGCTCATTTATTGTATTCTAATCGAAGTTTTCATGTCTTTCAGAAACATCAAATAATATATTAGAAATTAATAAGATTGTATGAAAGAAAATTATATATGAACAATAATAGAGGTATTACAAAGTAATATTCATTTTCCAAAATGAACATAATCCTTTCCTAGTAGATTAGCTCAGAAACATTTTTTTGAGACTTATTAAATCTATTCGATATTGAAAATGAGAAGAAGAAAAAAATAAAATACTATATTTGACTATTATTCATCATGAGAAAACCATTCGAACTGATATTTATTGTTTAAGTTTATATCGCGCATGCAAAGATATTTATTCCGTGACACATATTTCAAAAACAAAAAAAAACAAATTCTATCAATAATTTCATCTACATATTCTTTTAAACAATTGTTTAACTCTCAATTAATTTCATATCAATATCAATATGTGATAAATTATATATATGCACTAAAAAACATTTATCTTGAAACTAAAAGAAAAGTTTATATCTTTTCTATTTTCTTAATTCTTTCATATTTCTTAAATTTACTAATAGAGATTAGTATCAATGAATATGCCGTTAAATCAAGATGGTACAGTTATGTTTAATGCAACATTATTTGCATTAATTCGTACATCATTAAAAATAAAAACCGAAGGAAATATTGATCAAGCTAATGAAGAATTACGTGCTGTTATACGTAAAATATGGAAACGAACACCACAAAAATTACTTGATCAAATAATTCCACCACCTGGTTCTGAAGATGATGTAACTGTTGGCAAATTTTATGCAACATTTCTTATACAAGATTATTTTCGTCGATTTAAAAAACGTAAAGAACAAGCAGCTAAACAAGTACAACTTGGTTTTGCTGGTGCAAGTAAAAATTCAGTTGCATTACAAGCTGGTTTAAGACAATTACATGATTTGGGACCAGAAATACGACGTGCTATATCAGGAGATTTAGATGATGAAGCAACATTTAATAGATTTTGGCGTGAAGAAGAACCACAACATCGTGTATGTAGAAAATTATTTGAAATAATTTTTAATATGTTTTCTTCTTTGTTTTTGTTTTTTTTATTAGCGAGAACATACATTATTTGGTACAATGATTGATGCATTTACACGTGCTATGCGTAAACCACAACAAGTACTGGGTTATATGCCTACTTTAACAGCTGCACCAGCATTATCACCACCACTACCTGGTACTCGTCTTCGACGTGAACCTGATGGACCAGTATCAATAAAATTAGATGTTGATCCTAATTTACATATACCATCACCATTTCGTGTTGGGTATGAAATTAATTTTTGTTCGTTTTTTTTTATTATTTTTCATTATAAATATCTTCTTCTTCTTCTTTTTTTTATTATTATTATTATTCTAGAGCTATTACAGCAGATCGACGTGGTATTGAACCTGATAGTTATGTATTTCAAGTACCGGAACATGAAGAAGGTCCATTAGGACCATTAACATTAACAAGTCGTCGAGGAAATATTCGAAAAGAGAATAGTTTTCGTTTTCGGTAAATTAAAATTGATTTTTTTTTCTATTGATAAAATTTAAATAAATCTATTTTTAATTAGTGAACAATCTGAAACATCAAATATCGAACATCATGAACCAAATTCTGGTCGTCGTCGTTCTATATTAGCACGTATATTTGCTAAACGTAAAACTGATAGTCAAGAATCAGCATTAGTTAAAGGTTCAACAAGTACTGAAGAATCAAATCAACCACGAACAGCGGTAAAAATCTATTCAATAAATTTTATATTATCTATAGTCTTTAATAAAAATAGTTTCCTCCCTCTTCGCGCTTTCATGATATTGAACTGATATTTTAAGTGTATATATATACGACAGTAAACTCTGTTTACAACCACCAATTTACTCTTGATTGGTTAACATGCAGCGAAATAATGACTTATACAGCTGTTTTTCCCTTGTGAAAAACATGCATACAAAAAATTTTTGTTTATCATTTTGCTATGCCACAAGCTACTAATGTTTTTGCAATAATGCTAAAGGCAATTCCATATGTCTACGTTATTATCATCAAAACCCGTAATGAATAATCCAGCGGGTTAATGCTTATGATCAAGACTTAATGTCGTTTGAGTTCAGTACTTCTAAAAAACAAACTGGAAGTATTAAATCATCAGATATATATATATAAAGGATTCTTAAATTTATGTCGAAATATTTTTCATATTTTATTTAATTCTTAAAATTAAAGATTTCAGTACTGGAATATGTAGCATCTTTAATTTCAATAATTTAATTATGAAAATTTTCATATCTATCTAATGATTTAACAGTTTCGGTTCAATGTAATAGTTTTCAAATCGTCAAACTCTAATTTTTGCACGTATATATCGAAAAAATATCATAAATAATAATAAAAAATTTTTTTTTGGGAAAAGAGAATTATTTTGTCCAGAAATTATATTTGACATTTTTTTTTCCTTTTTAAAGACTGCTAATCGTTCATTAATTGTTGAAAATGGTGATACCATACGTAGTAAGTTAGATTTATTGTAATGCTAATTGCATGCATATTATTATTATTATTAGCACGTATTGTGATTGTTGTTTGTGTTTCTTTTTTTTTCTTCTTATTACTCATAGCCCGACTTACTTCTAGCACGGACAATCAATCCGACTGGATCCCAATACCCACACCCCGTCACATCTATTATCCAACAACATCAACCAGCAGTATCCACACATATGTGTAATACAGATCATGAACATCAAGGTTTAAAATAATATTTTATTTTTTTTGAATGAATGAATATTTAATTAATTAATTCGACTATTTTTTGTTGTTGTTATTATCTAGATCAAACAAGAACACGACCATATTCAATGCAAGCTAGAAGCAAAGATGATGTTGAAGAATTAGTTAATGCATGTCTTGATACAACTGGTATTGATCGTCGTTATAGTGCAATAATATTAGAAGAATTACGTGATTGTACAAATTTAACTCATGATCAATTACGACAAGCTGCACATGAACTAACTACACAACTTAGCTCAAATTCTCCACAATATGCATCATTTACATCATCAGTATATGATTCAGCAACAACAAATGTACCTTCATCAGATGAACATCTTCATGATTCATCTAATTATAATAATAATGTGTGATTTTAATTTTCGATTTTCTTTACCTGTCTTTTATATGGTGCTCTTCGTCTATTCTTCTCAATTTTCACGACATTTTATTTTATTTTTTTTTTCTCTCTTTTTTCTCGTCTTCCGAACACACGATCTGTCTAGTTTCTTTTTTCTTTGCTTCCTTTTATTAATCAATGTACAGTTTTCTGTGCGTGATAGATTGTAGAAGATTTTCAAATCTATATTCATTAATTTATAAATGTATGTTTGATTGTTACCAACAGTGTTTTCCAAAATTTTACTTTATTTTTTTTTTTTTTTTTCTTGTTCCCTAATCTTATGTTTTGTTATTAACAAGATTGACACGATTAATTCTTCTTTTTTTCTCTCTTTCACCTTATTGCTTGCGCACTTTTTGTTTTTTGATTTTGTTTGAAATATAATTTTTAAAAAAAACTATAATTGACTTTTGTCTGAAGTGATTAAATAAAAATTTTAATGAATAAATTAATATAGAATCCATCGAAAAAATTTTTATTAGTATTTATTTTAAGTATTAAAATGAAAAAAGTTAAATTTTTCATTGATTGTTAGATAATAATGTCAAATAATATGACCGATGGGGCACAGCTGCGATGGCCGAGCGGTTAAGGCGTTGGACTTGAAATCCAATGTGATCTTCACGCGTAGGTTCAAGTCCTACTCGCAGCGCTTTTCTTTTTCTTTTTCTCTTGCTTTTCTTATTAATAGAATGTGTGCGTCACACGCTAACACATGCTTATAAACGCTACTATTCTATGCTTTGTAGTAATGAAATCAACATTGATCTATCATTTTTTTTTTCTCTTGCCGTCGCTCGGTCGACAACAACTCAATCATCAAAAACGATTCTAATGACTGGTAGTAGAGCTCTTCTTTCGATATGCTACTGTCTCATTTTTTTTTCTGCTAGATTACCAACTCTTTTATCATGAGATTCTCAGCATGACAACGAACATGATGACAACAACAAACAGTACAATTATAAATGAGGATAGGATAAAAAATGACAACATGATAAAATGATGATATTTTTGTATTTTATCTTTTTATAGAATGATCAATATAAAATAAGATAGAATAATATTCGTTTGTTTTTTTGCTAATTATGATTTAATTGAATTTCTGTACCTGAGGGAAAGAAAACAAATTTGACATAAGAATATAACTGTCAGTTGAATATATATATATATATATATATAATAGAATTGTATATGAAAAGAACAAACGAAAATTGTTCATTTATAATAACCTTATTCTTTTTATTATTTGAGTCTAGTTTCATGTAAAATGTCAAAAATTTTCCGCATTCACTTTTGCCTTTTTTTTTTTTTACTTTGGCCTTCACATTTACTCACATAATAAACGTGTGCACGCATAAGAAACCTTCAGTTTTTATTCAATGTACATGAAGAGCGCAATGTCTAAATAAGGTAATGATCACAGTAAAGTAGTAGTAGTAGCTTGAATTTCAGTAAATATGGAATGAAATGAATTTAATCCATATTTGACTATCACGTTGTGCATCTGCACTTCAGTGTACACTTAGTTATAAGTACTAATCCTTTATAGATGCATTCATCGTCTCATCATAACAAAAAACAAAACCGAACGAAAAGGGTTATGTATTTATATATATATATATGTTTAATAAGAAGGGTTCACAAGCCAAACTTTGCACTTTCTTTTCATATAAAGGTGATTTGATATGCTATTACACATTTCATCATATTGAATGATGAAGTAAGGACTTCTATATGGCGAGTGAATATTGATGAATACAATGATGTAATGTTCCGATTACTATCATTGTATTAAATCAAATATTTAAACCAGTAATGATTGCCATTCACATCCTCTTATGTTATTTCTATTATTGTTCTGAGAGAGAGAGAGAAAAAAAAAGTGATGACCTCTCACTTCTGTTTGTTCTATTTCTATTTTCTATCTACTATTAGATCGTCTTAAAACGACGTTTGCTAGCGGCTCTATTGTTTGTTGACATAGCAATTGTTAATGTATGATTATGTCCTGATATGCCCAATGACTATGGTCTATACCTGTCATAGATTATCAGAATTAGTATTTGTTATAATAGAGTAATGCTTTCTTTTTTCTTCTTGCAACTGTATTTTTTAATACAAAAACGGATAGACAGAAAGAAAGAGAGGGGGGAGAGAAAAAAATGAAAGAAAGAAAGAAAGAAAGAAAGAAAGAAAAATCATGCAAACTATTTCCGACGCAAAGTCGATTCTTTTCTTTTATCGGTTTCTTTTGTATGTAGATATATTTTGTGAGATAGTAAAGAGCGAGGAAAAAAATAAAGAAGCAGATGAAGGAAGCAAGAAAGAAAATCGACCAGAAAATGGACTGCCACATATGCATAGATATATATATATATATATACATATATATATACATCGTTGTCGTTCGTAGTCATATTCAACACATGAGTTTGTATCGATGGTAGAAAAAAAGAGATGAGGAGCAATGGGAAGAGAAAAGGAAATAACTAAGCATACACAGTATGTGTGCGAGCCAGCCAAAAATGCAACGAAGACGAAGAAGAAGTAGGAGCGACTGGCGTTGGCGCGCGTCGATTATACATATGTTATCAGTGCGCTTTTAGAGTAGAGAAAGAAAAGGCGAAAGGGTGGTTCTCTCCCAAGAAAAAGAGAGTGGTAACGGCATCAGCAGAAAATTTGTTGTTGGTATAAACACATTCGACGATATGGTTATTTCCATATTCTTTCACCTCTCACTCTTTTTCTCGATTTAGATACGCCTCTCTGTCTATATATATATGTCTATGTTCATATGTTCATCAATTTTAGATACTCTCTCTGTCTCTCTATAGTTTCATCATTGATTGATGTGATCGATTTGATTGTATTCAATATATGCGAATACGTTCATATTTAACATAAATAAATCGGTGACACAAGATTAAAATAGAAAAGAAAATGAGCAACGATCATCATTATCAACATCATCCACGAACTGTCATACCCGTGACAGTAAATCCAAGCGATGATCAACGTTATATACGTTTTCGTTCATCGGAAGGAACATCAAATGATATACATGATCGAATGAGTACACGTATGCGTGATTTTGAAGAAGAATGTCGACGATGGCGAGAAAAATTTTTTAATGAATCAAGAACAGAACCAAGTTCATATCCATCATCATCATTAGTTCATTCAAAACCACGAATGCGTGTGGATTTTCCTGATTTTCCCGAATTCGGTGGAGTTGATTGGCCAACATTTCGAGGATCAGCATCAGGTTTAGGTACAACACCAAATACATCAGGTCAACGTGCATTTATTGAAGAAGATAATGATGGACGAAAAAAATATAAAATTCAATTTGATATTGGTAAGATAACAAACAGAAAAAAAAAAAAAGAATAATTTTTCTTCTAATAAAAAAAAAAAACACACATCCACACAACTAATTATTTAATTTTACAGGTGAATTTCGTCCCGAAGAACTCAATGTCAAAGTTGATGGTCGTATGTTAATTGTTAAAGGTGATCGTCAAGTTAAAGTTGGTAACGCAACTGAATCAAAACAATTTAATCGTGAATTAACATTACCAGAATTTGTTGATGTTAAAACTTTACAATCATATTTATCGGATGATGGTCAACTTACAATGGAAGCACCTGTACTTATGGATCGTGTTTATAATGATTCAGGTTTATCAGCTATAACATCAGCACCAAGTACATTTCGTCAATCAAGTCCAGGTCGTGTTGTTGATACAACATTTACTGCTGGACGTCAACCAACAACTCTTACTATTGGTAATAATCCACCAAGTTCATATTCATCATCATCATCATTTCGACAAGAAAGTAATAGTAGTGTTGGATCAAATAATTTTCATCGTAATAGTCCATTACGTGATCAATATTCATCAACAAGTTCAACATCAACACTTGTTGGTAGTAGTAATAATCCAACTCCTGTTACATTTTCAACAATAACATCACGACCAGAATTTTCAAATAGTGATCGTAATGATGGAAGTAAACTTGTTACATATAAATTTAATTTAAGTGAATTTGTACCTGAAGATATAGCTATACAAGTTAATGATACAATGTTAAAAGTTAGTGCCTTAAGACAAGAACGTGATGGACGTGGAACAAGTCATCGAGAATTTAAACGTGAAATTGGTAAGAATTTGTTTTTCGTTGATTATCGGAAAGAAAAAACAAAACATTTATATATATATGTTATAGGTTTACCAGATGGTGCTGAAGCAAAAAAATTAACAAATACATTAAGTGCTGATGGTATTCTAACAATACAAATCCCAGTACGTGATATTCGTCCACCATTAACACCAACATATCAATCGCAACAATTTAGTTTACCAACAAATATTGGTGCAAATGATTCATATATAGTGGGTGATCAACAACTTAAACTTACATTTGATTTAAGTGGTTATAAACCTGATGATGTTAGTGTTAAAGTTAATGATAATGTTTTAAAAGGTATATTCATTGATTTTACTTTTATTTTTTAAAATCTATTTGATACATTTAGTTCAAGCTGTTCATATTGATAATACACGTGGTAATCAAATTAATCGTGAATATATGCGTGAATATGTCTTACCAGATTGGGTTGATGTGAATAATTTACGCGCTAAAATGAGTGAGGATTCAACACTTACTGTTGAAGTACCAATACCGCATGATCGTGTACCTGCATTCAACCGTCAAATTAAAATTACGCAATAGAACTCCTAGTCATCAGTTACTGTATTTGTGCGTGTGTATTATAAGCTAGATTGATCCTCTTTGTTTCTTTTCTTTTTTTTTTTTTTTATCATTCATTATATTACCTACGCGAGAACGTCGTATAGTAGTGCTTTACGTCGAACAGTGTTACTTTGCCATACGTTTCGTTCTTTTTCTTTTTTTTCGTTTTTTTTTGCTTTACTGATTTTGTATTTTGCTGTGTCGAAAAAAAAAAAAGAGAAGATTATCTTGTTGATTAGAATTGTTCATTTTCTGCGTTGTGGACGAATTATTTTATTTCATTTAGCATGAGTAATTTATACAGAATATATTCTGTGTGCACTATTTCTTCTGTTAATTGTTGAACGATATGAAAGTTTGTTTTTTTTCGATACAATAAATTGCCCATTTTACTCGAATTTTTAGATAAGATTACTTATTGTTGTCTTTTCACAATATCAAACTTTTAATACACTATATACGATAGCTCATAAATAGTTAGACGATAAAAAAAAGACTTTAATATCTCTAAATTGCTTTAATCAATCGAGCTGATTTTCTTTGTTTTGGTGATAGAGGATTCTTCCAAATTTTTATTCATAAAGAAATTGGTAAATAGTTACTGTGTAAAACTAACACTACGGACTTCAATGAAGAAATGCACTTTTGACAGAAGTATTTCAGTCATTCGCAGGGTTAGATGTGCAAAATTTTTAGCATATATACTACCGTAGAAATGTTAGGTGAGTGAAACCAAGCTGATCTCGATCGCTTAAATTGAAGATGAATTATGGTGTTTGACAATTGTGATCACAAGGAGCTCTAGAACTGAGAATGTCAAATATCTAATTACAGCTTTTGAACATTTAGATGAAACTCATTGAAAGACTACATAGTAATAGATTTGCCGAATCATAAGCTTCTTTTCTTCTAGAATTTCAGAGCTCTTAGTGAGAAAAATTGTCATACATCATAATTCGTCTTCAAATCAAGTGAAATTGCTGAGATATGTTTGATTCATAGTGTATTTTTTCATTGAGGTCAATAGTACTCGTTGTACATAGTATCTATTTGTGGGTATCCTTATCCAGAAAAACTTGAAAGAATTTCTATCGCCGACTGACGTCGGATTCGACCTCTATTTCCTACAAACCCTATAACTTTTGTCCGCTCCTGTTTTTTGCCTAAAAAGAAGTAAACATCCAAGAATTACTCAATTTTATTTCGCATAAATTTTACTCTTTATGCAAACTTTACACATGATATAATTAAATTTCTCAGTGTCGCGTCTATAATGACAGGAGTTCTTTCAAATAATAATTTTTTCAAAACTATCTACTTCTACTAAACTTATGAAATACGTACTAATAAAAATGATTGACACTTTAGATGCTGTTCGATCTCTGAGAAATTGTCTCTTGAAACTAATGTATTTTTTCGAATTCTACAGATAATGTCTTTTTTTTTGCAAATAGACGAATAGTAGATGTAAGATGCAATTTTTCAAAAAATTGCCCCTGTTGCTTTATAACTCGTATTGACGTTGTTCGTAGGAAAACGCCCTCGTTATCTGCCGATAAGAAAAAGATATACTGAGAATATCTATTGACGAAAGCCAAAATATTCTATTCTTTTTTTTTTAGTTGCGCAAATCATGAGTACGAATTACGAGAATAGTCTTCGGATGTTTTTTTTATTGTGTGCCTACGTATCATTATCTAATCATAAATAGCTGAACATTACATTTAGAAACTTTCTTATTAACAAAAATATATGATTTTTTTTCAATTGAAAATGTCAGTTGAAGTTTTGTAAAGAAAATATTCAAAATTTCGATAAATTAATATATCCAAGATATGTAAAGTTTATTTGAATATGAAACCTGTCAGTACACGATTAAACTAAGCATTCTTGTCTGACTTTTACATTTGCTTCATGTTAAATCGTTAATATTTACTATGAAAGATAGAATGCACAGTTAATTGTAGCTAATATTTCGTAAAAATTCACTTTTGAAAACATTAATAATAAACATGTAACTGTATCTTGGTTCTACAGATAAAATAAAACTTTGTATTTTCTGTTGTCTTGCCGAAAGTTATGAATGGTATTTTGCTAGATTTACTCACGTCTGATAAAAGATTTATCGTTCGTCGAGATGATAACATTTGAAAAAAGATATCTCTTTTATACGAACAAGTGAATAATTATTTTGTTTTACTGTCTATCAGCACTACAGTGTTCTAACTACTACTAAAAAAGAAAACAAAACAATTGGAAGAATAATTTAAATGTAAAATTTTATCAATTTCAATAGGGAAAAAAATCCTATATTTTCAAAAACTCTCAATTTCAGGTAAGATCAATGAGAGAAAAAAATGAATTCGACTGGTAAAAGTAGTCCGGAGATATTCAGTTTCTTATTTCTTGAAAGTATATTTCCAACTATACGATAATTTTTATTAATCGCATCTGATTTTCCAACTAAAAGCTTTCATTTTCGATCATGATAATATCATTTCACATGTTCAATTTAGTGTTCGAGTTTTAGACGTATTTTACGTAATGAACTAACTATAGAAAAAATAGGACAATCTAATAGAAACTACGACAGGTTTATAGAAAAATGATGCATATAGTTAACAAGTAAGCAAAGGAATTTAGTCAAGTGTAATAGAATCAAACGTCATTTCATTTCTATCATTTGATTATGAAAGATAAATCAGTTTGTTTCAAAACTATATCAAGTTAATATTGATGAAGTCTTAAATAATAATGAATAATTAGATCAATTTCAGATGACACCAATTTTTTTAATATTTGTTGAACAACAATATACCATCATATATATTATAAGAGAAAAATTATATCAGTAGTTTCTATTTTTGTATAAAACCATCTATCACCAAACATAAAATAACATGATTCTGTCGTGTAGTAAGAATCTATTTTTCGTCAATCACGAATAAAATAAGTAAACACCAAAAACAAAAGGTCATGAACTAAGGATGAACTGATAGTCGTTTGTAAAAGTGAACGTTAAATCAGTCAAATACGTTCAATAGCATTAGTGATTAGTAATTTATGTTCATAAAAAGAGAACTGTGATGCAATGATATTCAGAAATTTTTGTTTTTGTTTTTGATCATTAAGAAATGAAGAAAAATTAACCTTTTTCTTTTTAACTCGAAAAAGCAGTTCTATGAAACAAAATAAGGCATTTTCTAAAGTGAATAAATGTGAAAGAGCTAAAAATAAATATCTTTTTTATTCTTTGTATAACAAGTCATTTTACGTTCATCTAATGCAGTAAAGATTATCGTCATCAATGTGAGCAATTGGCGAAACAAAAACATGACTACTATGATCTCTAGTGCTTGATGCAAGGTGGTTTTCTGATTGTCATTCTACAACATGAAACGTATCATAGGTATCCAGATAATTGATAGAAATATACCAAAGAACATAAGTGCTACCGGATTTTACATTAAAATTTTCTTATTTAATAATCGCCATGTCGAACGTCAATGAATATCAAGTTTGGATAAGCATTTATGATGTAACTATATTTCTATCTCAATTATAATTTGAACTGTTTTCATTATTGCTGATAGTAAACTAACCATAACAAAAAGCTGTAGAAATTGATAAAAGAGTAATACAATATATGATATTAATAATCATTTTGGATGTATAACGGGAAGTGTTAATAATCATAATGCTTGAGTAATGTCAACAAATATTGACAGTGTTTCAACGACAACACAAACAGCAGATGTCAAAGAAAATTGTATAGTCATGCGTCTTCGACGAGGTCATTGCACTTGTCATTTATTGTCTAATTTTTTTTTGCCAGGTAAAACACAGAAACAATGTTATATTTGGAATAAAAATAATTCCCGTTTGAAAAATTCTAATGAAATAACCAAACATCAAAACATTTGCAAAATAAGTACAACTATAAAATCATCATTTGACTATAAAAAATAAAGAAATGTGTTTCTATGCAACTCTACATAAACGATGTTTAGTAAACTACTAGTAACTGCCAAACAGAAATTTTAGGACATAAACAATCTTTCATTAGAAACTGATTATCAACAAACATAAAGTGACATAATTTGTGATGCAGTAAGAGTTTCTTGTCGCGAATAACAAATCAAGTGAGTGCATAAAATTCACAGGTTAAGCCTGTTATGTGAACTCCGTGCAAAGCGAGAGATGTCACACTATCCATATGCTGGGTAACGACGAGCTACAAGCCACGATATCTAATAAAGCAGATACTCAACTCGATATTCATATCGACACATTGAGTAGTGTAATCCTCCTGTTATACAAAATTAATTAAAAATCGTTAGTTTAACAGCATATGGTTATCGCAAATTCATCAAGCAAATATTCTCGTAGCTACGTTGTGTATCTCAATACTTGAGTTACAGAATTTTATAACATCCCTCCAAGAATAAGAAGTCATAGCTTATGAAGAAAAGCTAATTTGTATTACTTTGACAAAGAATTCAGGTAAATGAAAAGAAATATACACTTGATATAAAACTTTTATTCCATTTTTACGTTTTAGCTTGAGAAAATCATTTTCAAGATAAATTAAAGGCATAGAAAATGATGCAAACGAATTATTTTTGTTTTTTATCTTTACCAAACATGTTCTTCAATAATCGAAAAGTTTATTCGAAAATGATTAGAGAATAAAAGATGAAATATTTCAAAATAAAAATATGAATGTATCAGTAAACATTATTGTGATGAAAATAGTATAAATAAGAGCTAGTTCAGGCGCTGAGATTCACTGGATCATGAGCAATGATTTGTTGACACTGCTTCAGAATGATATAGTCAGTCACTGAGTTTGACAAACTCATTGCCTTTTTGTGTTTTTCGTGTTAATTGACAATGCAAACCACTGAAATGAGCACTTCAATACTTCTGATAAATACTAAAATCAGGATAAGCCATAGCTTTCTATAATCATTTAAATTTTTCAGGCCATTAATTATGGTCCGATAATCTTTGTCATCAGTGATTAGTAAGCCAGCATTGGTACACTTCTACTCGTAGCATTGAGATATCCCTAGGATCCACGAATTCGCAATTCAAGGAAATTCGAGAAAATCAACCAGCCCAACACACGTACATAAGATATTAGATTACCCGCCTTCACTACGATAGAATTCTGGCAAATTCCAGAAAATAAAGCAATTCAAGAGACTGAAAGCAAAATCCAGCACATCATATAACTTTCAAATATATCCCATGAAAGTATCGTGGAATTGAAGGAAATCAAGGAATTCAAGAAATTCAAAGAATTCAAGGAAATTCAAGAAACTCAATACATCCATATAATTTTCAGTTATATCCCTGGAACGTAGCATGGAATTCAAGGAATTCACGAAAATCAACGGATCAAATAACTGTGAATTGTATCCCTTACAAGTCTCAAGAAATTCAAGGAAACAGAGGAGATTTTGGTGTGGGTGTGGATGAGTGAGTGTGGGATGTGGGTGTGGATGTGAGTGTGAGTGCCGGTGTGGATGTGGGTGGGCTGAGGGTGGGGTGTGGATGTGGGAGAAGAGATAACTTTAACCCTCACATTCACACCGTGCACCCATACCCGCACCGGCCCTTACTATCTACCATGGTTCAATTCCGTGAATTTCCTTCAGTGTCCTTCAATTTCTACAATTTCTAGAATTGCTTGATTTCCTTGAATTTCATGGCACTTCCAGGGGATATAATTCAAAGATATATAGATATGTTGAATCCCTTGAATTACTGAGATTTTCTTGAATTGCCAATTTTTGGATCGTAGGTACTGCTGGTAGCATTACGTTGTGCCTCATGTGACATGACTTTAGATTGCAACTAAAATTATGACTGAAGGTAGAGTTGGACAGCGACATAAAGGAAAAGGCTCCTATAGAGACAAATCGTTATATTTACAAAAATAAGATAAAAACATTTCCAGATGCATAAAAATTGAATGTTGTTCCAATTTCCCTTTTACATACCTGGAATCTCTACTACAGTTGTCGACTCTCTTCATAATGGAAGAGATTCTCAGGACTCATGAAAAATGAAAATATTGTTCTCGTATAAACTATGCGAGGTCACAGCGGAAGAAGTATTCCAAAGGGATAAAAGGCAACCAAGGCTTGAAACAAGACCAACACTATTCAATGGAACAGATGCTTTTCACTACAGTGTTAAATTTGCGTCTAAATATCTTATTTTCAAGACTCATGTACTGCAATTAGACATAGTACAGAAATTCATGATCTTGATGGACCAGTCAAAACACTTTGTTTATCTTGTGCGAGAAGCGGACTGTAAAACGAGTAAGGTCTGCATCCATTGTTTGCTTTCTTAACACGAAGTGCGGTAGACATGCTCACCGATACCAGACTTGAAATGTTTCTACGATTGGAACGACGACCTGAACTGAGACAACCAAGAAAACCGTAATGCGAAATCATGCCGAGGTCCACATTAAGACTCAGTGTGTGTCTGATACCAAGATTGAGACGGCGAATGAGATCGAATAAAAGCATCCACCGAACGTTCTAGCTGGCATTACTATGGTGACTCATAAGAAAACCGAAACAGATACTTTCATTAGGCCACGGGTCATTACACTGTCTGAAACTAAAACCTAACACACGGAGCACATGGATTCCGTGACGAGGAAAAGTGCCGTAAAACTCATATGGGAACGAGACACAATGCTAAACCGACAATTTCCATATAGACAGCTATTCCGAGCACATTGAAACTTGAATTAAAGACGGTAACTGTGTAGACGATCAATACAGCGAAGACCACGAGAACAGCCACTGAAACCAAGACGAGTTCTATAGTCCTAATTACAAACAGCCTCGGCAGGAAGACAGCGACAGAGATTAGAGCCGATATTCGAAAAGCGACTGAAACAGAGAAAGTGTTAGTGATTTGGCTGTAATCGAGACGGCTTTCAGCTCTATGACTGAGGTCGGAATCAGTGCTCCACGAGGAGTTCAAATATAGTCAGACATCAGGGTCCCAACTGAAACCTCGGTAGATTGCTGGATCGCGATTCAGGCTAGGGATGCAACAGTGACCATCAATCACCGGTTAACCGTCACCGTTTCACCGGTTCAAACCGGTAACCGTACCTACTCCGGTAACCGTAGGTACGGTTACCGGTCCAAGTTCGATAACCGTACCTACAGTTACCGGTCCAAGTACAATAAACGTAGGTACATTATCGGTTCAAACCGGTTGTCAAGAAAAACAGCATTTGTTAAGGAAATAAAGATAATTTATAAAGGTTGACGAAAGTAAATCGGGGTCGGAGAATCCGAATCTGAAGTTGGTTTTTCAAAATTTCGAATTGAATTTTTTTGACAAAGGAAAGGGTTTTTTAGAAAAATAATGATATTTTATAAAGGTTTACAAAAGTAAGTTGAGGTCGGACAGTCCGAATCTAAAGTTGGCTTTTCAAAATTTAGGGTTTCAGTTCTTCACACAGGATATTTTTCAGGGATAAAGTTTTCTAGAAAAATAGATCACTTCCAGGAGCGGTTTAGTCTAGGGAAGAGAAAATTGTAAAGCTCAAGGATTTGATTTCAGATTCGGACTCCTCGATCCCGGTTTACTCTCGTCAACCTTTATAAAACATCATTATTTTTCTAAAAAACCCTTTCCTTTCTCGAAAAAATTCAATTCGAAATTTTGAAAAACCGACTTCAGATTCGGATTCTCCGACCCCGATTTACTTTCGTCAACCTTTATAAATTATCGTTATTTTCTTAACAAATGCCGTTTTTCTTGACAACCGGTTTGAACCAATAATGTACCTACGCTTATTGTACTTGGACCGGTAACCGTAGGTACGGTTACCGTAGTAGGTACGGTAACCGTACCTACGGTTATCGTCACTGTTGCATCCCTATACTCTACAATGAAAATAACACTAATAGTGAATAATTTTAAAAACGTTTATTCAGATTTGATACTTGTACGATCATATCAGGTAATGAATAGTTCATCGTGTAATGCTTGATGAGTCTCGTACATAGTATAAAAATCTAGTATTCTACTTTTTTCCGGGACATACACATCGCAAAAGTTTGATCTCAGTCATCTGATTGATGAACACATCAGATCGTCTAATCCACTTGTTTTTGAAACCGCATGATTTAAAACTGACTCCAATCAAGTAGTCTCGTTTATTAAAGTATAGAACATCTGCGGAGATGTCATAATGGAGTTTCGGCTATACGGAAAGCATTTAAAAAAAGATAATTAACAGCTGAATCATATGAGTACAGTAGATGTTGAATATTTTACTATCGTTGGACGTGGACATCGTTCGACATTCCATTTTTCCGATTCCAAGCGGTTCGAATTTATGGAAATCGCGAATGCCGTTGATCCATGTTCGTGTTCGAAGCTGAGCCCATCGTTTTTCTAGTTTATCTTGATACACTTTTTCAACTATCGTTGCTTCTACAAATGCTACTTCAACTGGACGACTCAAATCACCATTGGGGTGTGGGTGTGGGNTTCACTGGCTAGAAAGTATTTCCAGCGAGTAGAGCCCGTCGGAAACAATCCGACGAACTCTACTGACACAAGTTAAAAGCTCTAACTATTAGGACTAGAATTTTGTCTTCTTTTTTAAATTATGAATTTAGATAGTTAAAAGCCATTGGAGTTGGTTGTTCTGTAGAACGGACACTTCTCTACAAAAAGCTGTAGTTTTTATCTAAGTGAGGTTATAAGCATTTTCTCAAGAGCTTTTGTCAACATAAAACAGTTGTTGTTTTCTCAAAAGACAAAAAAAAACTTCAAATAGTTCATTTTGTAGGATAACTTCTTTTTCATCTACAAGCTGATATTTACATAAAGACTCTAACTTTTAGCTTCGAATTGCAATAGTGAAAAAATGAAAATTTTCCATCACATGTTATTATTAAGAAGTTATTTATTTTTCGTTGTTTCTTTTTAAGGAACAAATTGAATATATTTTTTTGGCAATATTTACACTTGAAGTTATATTAAAAATTATTGCATATGGTTTATGTCTTCATCCAAATGCTTATTTAAGAAGTGGTTGGAATTTACTTGATTTTATTATTGTTGTTGTCGGGTACAAAATTTATAAATTTTTTTTTTTTTTAAAGGAAAAAAGAAAATTTATTAAAATACATTTTCGTTTTTAAATAGATTTTTAAGTGTGATATTGGTTCAATATAATGTACAAGGTTTTGATGTTAAATCATTACGAGCATTTCGTGTGATTCGACCATTAAAACTTGTTAATGGTGTACCAAGTAAATATAAATGATGTTAATCTTTCTTTGTCTGTTTTGTTATTGTTTGTAATAATGTATTTGGTTATGCATGTATAGATTTATATGTTGTTTATTTGTTATTTACTATTATTATTATTATTTGGTAAGAGTAATTTTATTTAATGTTTATTTAAATTTTTATTTAAATAAATTTAATAATAAAAAATCGACTTATGAAATATTTCATATTTTAAGGTTTACAAATTGTATTAAATTCAATATTACGAGCTATGTTACCATTATTACATATTGCTCTCTTAGTACTTTTTGTCATTATTATTTACTCTATTATTGGCTTGGAATTATTTTGTGGAAAAATGCATATGACTTGTTACTATAATGGAACAAGTATGATAGATTGCTAAAAGCAAAATAAAGAAAAAGGATTGTTTTGTTTATTTTCTCTTTTTGTAGATATAATGCCACGTACGGAAGAAGTGAGTCCGTGTGGTGAAAAAGGTCGAAAATGTCCCGAAGGACAAGAATGTAAAGATATTGGTTGGGAAGGTCCATGGTATGGAATTATCAATTTTGATAATTTTGGTTTGGCTATGTTAACAGTATTTCAATGTATAACCATGGAAGGATGGACATCAATATTATATGAAGTATGTATTCAATTAATATCTTATTTAAAACATTTAATATCATATATGATTATTAAAACTCAAAGGTGCCATTTGTATATAATATATAGTGACATTTCTGGAAGTATGGCCTATGTTTATATTGTAACATTCTTTTATTTAGAATGAATTATGTATATCAAAAATAACTTCTGTTGAGTTTATAATATTAGGCTTATTTTCATGAGAATATTTCTAATTCAGATATGAATACAATCAGCAGATAATCGATAACAGTCTAGTGCACTATAGACTCGATATATTCCCAATGGGTTATTGAATAGTAATTTGACAACATGTTCATTCTGGTTTTATTTTCAGTGCATTAAAGAATTCTATAGAGATTTGACAGCATTGGGTGAAAATCAAAATGTTGTATTCTTTCCAAATGTAACCTGGGAAATTTTTTCTATGACTCTTGGTTTAAGAGTTATGAAACAACTTTTTCCAGATCCTTAAATTGAATTTGAACGAGCTTCAACTCCCCAAAACGTACCCAAAGTAGAAGCGAAAATTATTTCAAATGCAGCTAATGAATGAGTCAACATTTATCTATAAAGCAAGTTATTTGTCAGCAATGAGTATTTTAATATACGGACAACGTCTCTACCTCGATTCTATGGAAAACAGACTTTCAAAATGAGCTCGATCATTCTTGACTAATTATTTTAAAAGAGATTATTGATGCAAAGAAATTTAATATTCGCGCCTCTGAAAAGATTGATTAATAATTTCTAAACCCGAAGTGTTATAAAAATCTTATACCTATCTTTAGAAACAATTAGGGATACTACTTTATCTTTATTCTACTTTGAAAAAGTAAAGTGCAGTAAAATACTAGTTAAATTTATTGTTGAGAGTAATCCACATCCCATTACCTTGTAATGCAACGGAAACTTTCATTCTTTGTATTTACTTTACATAGTAAAGTAAAGATAAAGTGTCACTCCTAGAAACAAGACAAAATTTTGATTCAAACTCAATACAATCAAATTTCTATAGAGGCTGAACAATGAATGTATACATTTTCTCCTTTCTTTTTTAATACAATATGAGAAGTAAGTGATGTGTGAACTATTATTCTATTAATTATTTAGATGAATGATGCAATTGGACGTGATTGGGCGTGGATTTATTTTGTTTCGTTGATTATAATTGGATCATTTTTTGTCATGAATCTTGTCTTGGGTGTTTTAAGCGGGTAATTCTTTTTTTGTTTTTCTAAATAAAGAATTTTTTAAGATTATTTTTTGTAGTGAATTTTCTAAAGAAAGAGAAAAAGCTAAACAAAGAGGTGATTTTCAAAAATTGCGAGAAATTCAATTAATTGATGAATCATTTCGAAATTATATGGCATGGATACGAAAAGCTGGTAAATGAAACAAATAAAAGAACATACGTCATCTTTATAAATAAAAAATATCTATTTATTTTTTCTATTAAGAAATTGGTGATGATACAAATGATATAATAGAAAATGATGGTTAGTTTTTTTTTTCTGGAAACCATTTTTTTTCTCATTATAATTTCCTGCTTTTTGTTTAGGCAGTCTTGATGCATCAGGTGAACCAGTAAAAAAAGAAAGAAAATTAGAAAACCATTGTGGATGGCTGTATAAAAAATTGTATGCATTCATTTATTATTTATTTATATATATATAAATATAAATATTATGTTTAATTTAGACGTTATTTACGAAGTTTTCATTCATATACTCGACGTCGTATTCATGCTATAGTTAAATCTCAAGCATTTTATTGGATTGTTATTGTACTTGTATTAATGAATACAGTTGTATTAGCAACTGAGTATTATGGACAACCTGATTGGCTGACACAAACACAAGGTATGAGATTAAATTCTATTAGGAAAATCAAAACATCACGTTTCTAAATGTATATTATGTACGATTCTTGAGTATTGTAGTTAGACTAGTGAATAGAATCATTTTTTTGATAATCAAATTTGTAATTGTGAGTAGACAAGAATCATAATGGAATAGTGATAATGAAGTAGTAAGTAAGTGTATGAAGAATTGATGTTGATTGTTTGAATCAATTGGTCATATACAATGTTAAGAGTCATTCTTGAGGAGTAAATTCTTATAAAAGATGAGTCAATAATCTATTCAGAAACATATTTTAGTTGGTCAGAACTTATATGAACAAAATCATTGTTTAGTTATATGACTTTAGAAAATTAAAACATGTATATCTCAAGATAATGAATATGTACAGAGGAGTTATTAGTAAAAAAAAACTGACGTAACTACAAAAAAAGGACATCGACTTTCATATCCTTTACATATGTCAATGTTGAAAGAATTCATTGAGAAAAATAGCTTTTGTAAAGAATCAAAAGTGTATATATCCCGTTTGACTATAAATCAATGATTAATTTAAAATTATTGTATTTGTTTTTTTTTTAGAAATTGCTAATCGATTATTTGTCTATTTATTTTCATTTGAAATGCTTCTTAAAATGTATTCACTTGGTATAACTGGTTATTTTGTATCAAATTTCAATCGTTTTGATTGTTTTGTTGTTATTGCATCAATTATTGAATTTGTTCTTATTTATATTGAATTTATGCCAGCATTAGGTATATCGGTGCTTCGTTGTGTACGTTTATTACGTGTATTTAAAGTAACACGTTATTGGACAGCATTAAGAAATTTAGTTGCATCTTTACTTAATTCAATGAAATCAATTGCATCTTTACTTTTATTATTATTTTTATTTATTGTCATATTTGCTTTATTGGGTATGCAAATGTTTGGAGGAAAATTTGATCATATATTTCTAGTCGAAGAAAAACCACGAAATAATTTTGATTCATTTTGGGGTGCACTTATTACTGTTTTTCAAGTAAAAATTTATTTTAAAAAATATTTTTTTTTTGTTATAAAAAAAAAAATTTGTTTTTATTATAGATTTTAACCGGTGAAGATTGGAATGAAGTGTTATATACCGGTATACGTGCACTTGGTGGTCTTGGTCTTGTTGGTACAGTTGTATGTTTTTATTTTATTATTCTATTTATTTGTGGTAATTATATATTATTGAATGTTTTTTTGGCTAGTAAGTTATTTATTTATTTTTTTTTGAAGAATAAAGATAAATAAAATGTATTTGTTTGATTTATAGTCGCTGTTGATAATTTGGCTGATGCAGAAAATTTAACAGCAGCTGAAGAAGAAGAACAGAAAAAACGTGCTCAAGCTAAATTTAGTGAAGATATGCAATTAAATGGAAATGTTAAAGCAACAGATCAGTAAGTTTAAATTCATCATTCTCTTGAAATCGATTTCGAGAGAGAAGAAAACATAATTAAGAATTCTTTTTATCATTTTTAGAACTATTAATGGACAAATTAATATTGGTAAGTTTTTCTTCTTTCTTTTTTAACAATTATGAAACTAAGTTTTAATTATCTAGATGAAAAATTAAATGATAGAACTACTGATAATTTATTAGATCAAGAACATGATATTAAACCAGAGCACACTGATGATGAAATTGAAGAAGAAAGTTTAAATAAAGATCAAACTACTGAACACTATTATGGAGAACGACAAACAGCTAGGTTTGTATTTGATATTATTCAAAAAACAAACAAATTAATATAATTATTTTATTTAGACCACGTCGTTTATCTGAATTAAATATTGTTTCAAAAGTTAAACCAATTCCACCATATTCATCATTGTTTTTATTTACACATACAGCCAAGTAAAAAAAAACATAATAAGATTTATATAAATCTATTTTAATTTGAAAAAAAAATAAAAACTTTAGATTTCGTATAATTTGCCATCGTATTTGTAATCATCGAACATTTGGATATGTTGTACTTGTTTGTATTTTATTTTCAAGTATTTCACTTGGTGCAGAAGATCCAATTGATTCATATTCATTTCGAAATAAGGTTTTTTATTAGAGATTATGTTTTATATGAAATATATTTATTTTTATTTTCTTTTTTAGATTCTCAATACGGCTGATTATTTTTTTGCAGTCATTTTTATTATTGAAATTTTTTTAAAAGTAAAACACAAAGCAAATAATAGAAATAATATAGATTACTCTTTTTGTTTTTGTTTTTGTTTTTAAGATTATTTCTTATGGTTTAATTCTTCATCCAGGTTCATTTTGTCGAAATCGTTTTAATATTCTCGATCTTGTTGTTGTATCAGTTTCATTAACATCAATGGTAATAAAAGATCGTGCAATGTCAGTTGTTAAAATTCTTCGAGTACTTCGTGTACTTCGTCCATTACGTGCTATAAATCGTGCAAAAGGTCTAAAAGTATGTTTGAATTAAAATAAATCAATTAAGAAAAAGAATTTTGTTTTTCATTTTTAAGCATGTTGTACAATGTGTTGTTGTTGCAATAAAAACAATTGGAAATATAATGCTTGTAACATTTCTATTACAATTTATGTTTGCTTGTATGGGTGTACAACTTTTTAAAGTAAAAAGATATTTTTTGTTAAAAATAATTCTTTTAAATTTTGAATTATTATTGTATTTTAGGGAACTTTTTATTCATGTAATGATAAATCAATGTTAAATAGAGAAGATTGCAGGTATGAAATGATTTATTTGATTGATCGGTTTTGTTTTTAGTATTATTAATTAATGTTATATTTTCTAGAGGATATTATTTAAAAATTGAAGATAATCAAATCTATAAAGAATCTAGAAAATGGGAAAATTCAAAATTTCATTTTGATAATGTACCTCAAGCATTACTAACATTATTTACTGTTGCAACATTTGAAGGATGGCCAACGTATGTATGATAAAAAGAAAAATTTAAATAAATTTTTCAATTGACATTCACTCGTTGTTTTTCATTTTGCATATTCCACTTTAATTAATTTAACATTACTTATTATTCTAACCATTGATTTAACGCCTGTCGTATTTATTGATCATATCTATAGAAGATTTCAACACACTATTATTTATCTCGATAAGTTCAGAAACACTGATATTGATTATTACTTAAAGATATAACTTGATTATATCACACATTTTTATGTTGAGCATATGATGATTGTGATAAATCAATGTTTCACCACTCATCGTTTTTTTGATATCCTGAATATAAATTTTTCTTTGTACAAAAATCAATTAATGCCATTCATACCATAAGAAATACTATCATTAATTTACATTAAAAACATCGCAATATTTTTTATATAGATTAAAATGCAAAACATAATTAGCCAAATCAACTTATATTACTAGGCAAATGAGAAAAATACTCATTAAAAAAACTAATCTCTACTTACATATTTATAGAATTATATTCAGATAAAATATAAATAGTAACAATAATTAAATTTGATTTTATTCGAAAGATTAATGATTACTTATAAAACATGTTTTTTATTACCTACTAATGTTTCATAATCGTCCTTGCGTTTTGACCTGTCTTCAGGTTCAATTGAAGTAACTCGAAGAGAGAATGCTATAGAGCTTTATTTTTATTTACTTTATTCAATTCGTACATGAGTTGCAATGTTTTTTTTTCATATGAATACAATGGCATTGATTTCGGCAATAAATGAACGAAATATAGCGATAAAATATTTTTTCAGTATTTTAATAAAACTATAATGATAGAAATCGATAAGAACATAAAACCAAAAATCAATAACTTAAAGATTGCAAATCATATATATCAGATCATGATGTCCTTGAAGTTTGAGTGCATGCATACTCAAAAAATTTTTCCTTTTGAAATCGATTCGTAAAATTTGACCAAGGTCTCATGTATCAACTGAATAGCGATTAGAGAATCTGGAAGAATCATTTTTCAAATGATTTTCTTATTTTAGTCTTTTGCATACGGCTATTGATTCGAAAGCTGAAGGCGAAGGACCAATTTACAATTATCGACCATTTGTTGCTCCATTTTTCATCGCATTTATCATTGTAATTATTCTTTGTTTTGTTTTGAACTACTGTTTAAATTTGTTTTTTTCTTTTATTTCATAAGGTCATTGCTTTTTTTATGGTAAATATATTCGTTGGTTTTGTCATCGTTACATTTCAAAATGAAGGTGAACAAGAATATCGAAATTGTGAATTGGATAAAAATCAAGTAAGATTCATAAGATTAATACAATCGTTTAAAAAAATGTAGTTTTAAGAATTTAATTAAAATGCTCTAAATTTTCTCCAACGAAATTAATATTTCAAAACAATAAATAAATAAAGATAAATAACAACGTAGGAACGAAACAGGAGAATTTAAAAATCTTTACTGAAAGTATTTAACATAGTGCTTCTGAGGGTTAGTGACTTTATTTACTAGGGAACTAGTCCGAATCCATGAGCTTTTGAAACCAATTAATGGCCGTTGTACTGAATTTTTTATCTGAAATTTTTCTCATAGATAGATACAATGACCCTTAGAATATGCTCAAAGTTTTAGCTGAAAAGAATGTTCTTTTATCAAGATATTGGATTTCTAAAAAAATAGTTGTTTGCTTCAGACATGCCACATGAATCGAATTTCCTTGAAAACTTAATATCTTGATAAAGAAACATTCTTTTCAGCTGAAAACTTTCAGAATATTCTATGGCTCATTAGATCTATCCATGGGTAAAATTTCAGGTCGGAAGTGTGCTATGACGACTGTGGCTCGATTACAAACCCTTTTAGGCTATTTCTAGTCTTGCCGAAATTGCCTTATGGGTTTAATATGAGTTCTAATAGCACGTTACAGTTATAGGTAGTTCTCTTGTTGAATTTTTAGATTTATAACCAATATCCTTGAGCGGTTCTATTGTTCAGTACGGGTCTCATAGTAGTATCTAGGTGTCTGAATGCTACCTGGTCAAACTTACTTTGTAATCATATATGCATAGATTGATTTTTATTAGATGCGAATGCTTTTTTTTCTAGCGTAAATGTATTGAATTTGCTCTCAAAGCAAGACCTATAAAACGGTATATACCAATTAAAAAAGTTCAATTAAAAATCTGGTGGTTTGTCACATCACCACCATTTGAATATGCTATTTTTTCATTAATTATGATCAATACAGTTGTACTTGCTATGAAAGTATGTGTTTTATTTTTCTTTTTAATAAAATATTCAAATAAAATATTTTCTTTTTTCTAGTATAATAAACAACCTGATAATTATTCTAAAGCTCTTGATTATTTAAATATTGTATTTACAGCGATATTTGCTCTTGAATTTGTTCTTAAAATGGCTGCATTCCACTTCAGGGTATGAAGAAATTAAAATAAAGTTTTTTAATTTAATAAAAAATAAGAAAAACTTAATTTTTATATTTAGAATTATTTCAGTGATCCATCGAATTGTTGTGATTTTGTTATTGTTGTTGGTAGTTTAATTGATATTCTCTATACTGATATAATAGCAGTAAGTTAAAATTTTATTCGAAAATAGAAAAAAAAATATTTTTTTTAAACAATGAGAATTTATATATACGATAAATGAAATATTTAATGTTATATTTCCATATATATATATATACTATGGGATGCTTTGCATCGTCTCATTTCTTTGTCTTTAAATATGTTTCTCGTGTGTTATTTTATTTTAATAGCTTTGTATTTATCTTGTCTTGCTTTTACATTAGAATTATTTTGCTTTTTCATTTTTTTTCTTTCACATAGCGAGTTTGGAAATCGCATCAGGTATAAGATTTTGTTGTCCTACTATTGTCTTGGTACTGATATTTATATATATATATATATACATATATATTTTAGCGTCCAAACTGAAATTACGTTCAATCGCAGATCAACTTAGACGAATTTCAGATTCGAGAATGAACAAGTCCAATGTCGGATAGGAGAAGATGTTTTTATTTAAGTCTTCATTAGTCGTTAGATATATGTTGGATTCAAATTTTTGCTGGTAGACTTTGTTGAAACAATTGTATTTCAGGTATTACACAATCATCAATGAAAAATCTATGTTCGAACTCAAACACTTATGGATAATTTTTCATAAATGCTATTCTTCTATAGAAACTTATCTATAACTTCATCCATTCTATTTTAATTTCTGCGTCGACGATTGTATGACCTAAAATGCCATTGTTTCAACGCAGTTCACTTACAAGAATTTGATTCCAATATCTAACTACAGAATCATGGAAGTTTTAATGAAAATTTCTTTCCCGATAGAACATAGAACGCGTCCATTCTTAGATCCAAGATTGGACGTAATCTCACTTTGAACGCTAACATATATGCATCAATCAATGTTTCCATATTATCAGTCTCATGTTGTTCAATACATTTTTTCTATTCAATTTAATAATGATTTTAAAATAATCATTAGTAGTTTGAATTATTTATTTATATTGTCATGTTTTGGTTTTTTTATCGTTTCCATTTATTTTCTTTCTAGCCTGGTACAAATGTTATTAGCATAAATTTTTTTCGTTTATTTCGTGTTATGCGTTTGGTAAAAGTATTAAGTCGTGGAGAAGGTATTCGAACATTACTTTGGACATTTATTAAATCATTTCAAGTATGTTATAATTTTCATTATGAATCTATATTGAGTGATGATTAAATTTATATATTTAGGCATTACCTTATGTTGCTTTACTTATTGCAATGCTATTTTTCATCTATGCTGTCATCGGCATGCAGGTAGAGTGTAAAAAGAAAAAAGGAAAATATTCATTAGTCTTATCTGTACTGTAAAAGATGAAGACAATCGTAACCATTGTTTCAGCATAAAAAATTTTGTACTTTCATGTTGAATTTATGGACAAGAACAATTAACTTCGTTTTTGTTATCTTTGAAAAAAACTAGAGTTGATCTATAGCACGGAAGCCTTGACACAAAACGATCGCTCATTAAGATAACTAGTTAAAGCCAAAATTGACATGTACGCGACTGGAACTACGACAAAAAAAAAAACTTGGCAAATTGGAATTCAAGCTTACAGGAACATGTTCTATGGTTTTAAGCAAATTATCTTATAAATCAAATGAATCAGAACATAATTTAAGAGAGATGATCCAAAAAAAAAACTAATTGTTCGTCAACTAAATAAATTTTAAAAAATGAGTCTGAACTATTAAAAACTGTTTCGCATTTTTGAATTTGATAGATTTCAATCGAAATACAAAATTCATCAAAATAGTATTCTGTATAACTACTTCTGTTGATAACCAGCTTTCCAAAAAATGAATAATTATTTCGCACTATAAGTTAATTGAAATGAATTGAAATTGATGTATTGATCATCATATGATTTTATGGTTTGGCTCACTGCAACACCTAAAACAATGAATATTTAGAAATAATTACGAATTTTTTTTCTAAATGAATTTCAATTTAGATGTTTGGTAAAATAGCATTGGATGATGAAACAGAAATTAATGTTAATAATAATTTTCAAACATTTTTTAATTCATTACTTGTTCTTTTTCGGTAATGAAAGTTGTTCTTTTTTTTTTCTTTGTTCTATTGTGTTGTTTTAAAAATTTGAATAGTTCGGCAACAGGTGAAGCATGGCAAGAAATTATGTATGCTTGTGGACCAAGTGCAAAGCCAAAATGTGATGATCGATCACGTTCATTTAAAAATGAAAATTGTGGAAATTATTTTGCAATTCCATACTTTCTATCATTCTATATATTATGTTCATTCTTGGTAAAAATTTGATTAGTTTTTTTTTTCCGAACATTAAAAAAAGAGATGAATTTTATTTTATTTTTTTTCTCAATTAGATTATCAATTTATTTGTTGCTGTTATAATGGATAATTTTGATTATTTAACACGTGATTGGTCTATACTTGGTCCTCATCATCTCGATGAATTTGTTCGTCTTTGGTCCGAATATGATCCTGAAGCCAAGTAAGAAAATAGTCTTTTCTTTTCTTTTTTCTTTCTTCTTTTCCAACATTATTAATTCAAAATAAAATTTTTAAATAAACACCTTCTAACAGAGGACGTATTAAACATCTCGAAGTAGTTAATTTACTTCGAAGTATCACACCACCGTTGGGGTTCGGAAAATTCTGTCCTCATCGAACTGCGTGCAAGGTATATTTTATTGTTTTATTATTGTATGCATATATATGTATATATATACATTTATGTTAAACATCTTTCCCGACATGTTATTTCCTGTTCCCTCCCATGATATCTTATTCTTGTTTCATTATTGTGCTTTATTTCGTGTATTTTATGTGCTTTTGTTGTTGTTTCATTAAGAGGACGTATCAAACATCTCGATGTTATTACATTGTTGAGAAAAATTTCACCACCACTCGGTTTCGGCAAGCTGTGTCCGCACAGAGTGGCATGCAAGGTATTGATATATTATTGTATTTGTCTTTTGTGAATAATAAAAATTTGATCGCTTATCAATAATGAATATTCTAAAAGTTTACAAATTTTTCTTTTATTAACAGGCAGACATTTAGAAAGAAAACATCATTAAAAAAAAAGAAGATGAATAACAAACTTCAGATGACTTTAAGCCAGTATTGCATCCAAAGTTTCTCTTCCGAAGAAGTATCTTACAATTCCAGGAATGCGAACATCTACTTTTGAGAGTATAAACGTAAAGTACGTGGTACAGTCACTGCAAACTTCGGAATGATCAACTCGATCTTCGAAAATGTATTGATCTTCTACGCTGGATAAAATACTGCTTAGAGTTATTTGAAGTAGATTTCATATGCCTTTCATATTCTTGCACTGAATTTTGTTCGATGGTTTTTCTTTTTGATTCGATTGAATCATGATAAAAAATAATTGATTCTCATCATATCAGTTTTCCAAAATTTTCTTGTTCATTAACACTGAAAATAAATAAATAAATAAATTGATAAGCGATGAAATATTCACATTTCTGTATTTGTTGTATTTGTATTTCTATGTTTGTATAAGTAACTTGATTGAATTCGCTTATTTTCTTTTATTAATATTTCTATAAATTTTCATTAGAAATTGGTATCTATGAATATGCCATTAAATCAAGATGGTACTGTTATGTTCAATGCTACTCTTTTTGCCTTAATTCGTACATCATTAAAAATAAAAACTGAAGGTAATATTGATCAAGCTAATGAAGAATTACGTGCTGTTATACGTAAAATATGGAAACGAACACCACAAAAATTACTTGATCAAATAGTTCCACCACCGGGTTCTGAAGATGATGTAACAGTTGGAAAATTTTATGCAACATTTCTTATTCAAGATTATTTTCGACGCTTTAAAAAACGTAAAGAACAAGCAGCTAAACAAATTCAATTAGGTTTTTCTGGTGCAAGTAAAAATTCAGTTGCATTACAAGCTGGTTTACGACAATTACATGATTTGGGGCCTGAAATTAGACGTGCTATATCTGGAGATTTAGATGATGAAGAAACATTTAATCGATTTTGGCGTGAAGAAGAACCACAACATCGTGTATGTTGAATTGATCAAATAAATATGTATTTTTTTGTTATTTCTAATAAATTTTTCTATCGTTTAGCGAGAACATTCATTATTCGGTACAATGCTTGATGCATTTTCACGTGCAATACGTAAACCACAACAAACAATGGATTCTGTACCTGATTTAAGAAGTCCACAAATGCCACCACCTGGTACTCGTCTTCGACGTGATCCTGATGGACCTGTATCATTGAATTTGGATACTGATGTTAATTTTCATGTTCCATCACCATTTCGAGTTGGGTATGAAATAAATTGTTTTCTTTTTTTTGTTTATTTTCATAATTAATGTATTTTGTTTTGTTTTTCCTTTAGAGCTATATCAGCTGATCGACGTGGTATTGAACCAGATACATATATATTTCAAGTACCTGAACATGAAGAAGGTCCATTAGGACCATTAAGATTAAATGATCGTCGTGGAAATATTCGAAAAGAAAATAGTTTTCAATTTCGTGAACAATCTGAAATATCAGATAATAAGAGTCCAAGTCTAAATAATAGTTCAATAAAAAATCGTCGTCATTCTGTATTAACACGTCTATTTGCACGACGTAAAAATGATAGTCAAGAATCAACATTAGTTAAAGGTTCAACTACTAGTACGGATGATTCTAATCAACCTCGAACATCAGTAAAAATAAATTACTTTTAGAATTATTTTTCTATCTTAATTTAATTATTTTAGACGGTTAATCGTGGATTAATTGTTGAAAATGGTGATACAATACGAAGTAAGTTTTACATTTATGATATTATTATATATTTAGAGAGAGAGAGAGCGAGAGAGAGTAAAGAAAATGCAACTAAAAATAATATATCAAGGGTAACCCATAAATAACTAGATGATAATTTAATATTTCCAATTTGCTTTAATCGATCGGGCTGAGTTTTTTTTCTCACTGATGAAATACTCGTCAAATTTTTTACTATATGCTATTGGTCAAAAGTTTCTTACCCTACGATTTTAGGCGTAGACATATGAAACGTTTTGCGTATATACTACCTTAAAAATATAGGTCAATTCGATCTCGTTTACTAGAGTTGAAAACGAGTTACTATCTATGGCAAATCTTCTTACTGTACGTCTTATAAGTTAAGAAGGGAAGGACTTTATGACTCGATGAATTCATCCTTATGCAGTCCTTTAAAGCAGCTATTTATTCATTAATTTCATCTATGTGTTTGAAAGTTGTAGGTATTTTACATAATTATAGGTTGACTAGGAGGTCATAAGTTCTTTCCCTCCTTAATTTATAGAACTCATAGTAAGAGAAGCTATTATACATTGCAATTTCTCTTCAACTCAAACTATCGAAACCGAGCTAATCTCATTGGCCTATATTTCTAAGATAGTACATATACTAAAAATTTCAGATGTGTTGCCTTAAGAATGGTCGAGATCGCAAGGTGAAATACTTTGCGCTAATGGTGAATTTCTTTATTCATGATTAGTTCAAAACAATATATGCATTGACGGTTTCCTTGTAAACAAAAACTTTAAAGATTCCTTTGTGATTGGAGAAAAAAACAGCTCGATTAATTAAAATCATGCTGAAGATATTTCAAGACCTCGTCATATCATATGTCATCATCAGACACATAGAAAACTTCTTTAATTTTTTCTTTTCCTATTTAATAATTTATATCTATTTATGATTCATCTTGTTGTCTGAATCTAATGAATCGATGTTGAAATATCACGATTTATTAAATAAATCAAATTCATATATATATATATATATTTACTTTTAATTGCATCTTCTTTCTCTTTACTTAGAAAATAATATTTAATCTCAGCATCATATTTTTTATTTTAATTATATGTTTATATTCATGTTTTTGTTTTATTTTAAGCAAGAGCAATTAATTTAACTGGGTCTCAACAGATTCATATGGCAACATATCCTTCGGGGACATCTACATTCTCATATAATGAAAATCAACAACCACAAGGTTAATAACAACAAAACAAAAAGAATTCTTTTTTTGTGTGTTATTATTAAAAACAAAACAATAATATTTTTAGCTTTAAGACCTTGTTCAAAGCAAATAGAAACAAAAGACAATGTCGAAGAATTAGTTAATGCCTGTCTTGATACATCAGGTATTGATCGTCGTTATAGCGCAATAATATTAGAAGAACTACGTGATTGTACAAATTTAACACATGATCAAATGAGACAAGCTGCACATGAAATAACAACAACACTTGGTTCACAATCCCCTCAATATGCATCATTTACATCATCAACATATGATTCAGTTGCTACACGTGTACCATCATCAGATGAACTAATTTTTGATTCATCGACTCACTTTGCTAACGTGTGATTTACGAATTCCTTTATTTTTTTGTTTGTTTATGTTTACCGGTGCTCATTTTCTTTGTCGATTTGCATGATTGTTGTCTTCCAGATAAAAAAAATGTATGTCCGTCAATATTATTTCCTTTTAATGTACAGTGTTCTATTCCAGATAGATCATAGATATTATAGATGCATATATATATTTATTTATATATTTGTGTTTGTATGTATAATTGTCACCAAGAATGTTTTCCAAAAGTTTATTTTTTCCTTTTTTTGTTGATATTGAAAAAAAAATAATAGAAAAGTTCTTCTGTTTCTTGGTTGTTTGTTTGTTTGTTCGGTTTATTATTATTTTCACATTATTGTTCAATTTATTTCTTGAAATTCTTTTCTTTTTCTGTTTTTTTTGTCTCTTTTCAAATAATATACATGTCATGGAAGATAATAATAATAATAATAATAATAATAATACCAATCTATAAAAATAGAAATTGATAATTGCTATCAGCGACTGTTATCATGTCAACAATTTAGCACAGCTATAATGGTCGAATGATTCAGACTTTAGATTTCATATTTAATGTGATTTTCATGCTTAGTTTTAAAATAAACAATTCATGTGTTATTATTCTTTCAAATGCTAAGTATGAGAACAAAAAAAAATATTTTGAAATGATAATTTTTAATTCTATCCTATCCTATTGAGAGCGATTAGTTTTTTGTTTTTCATTATATATGAATAATTCACGAACACCTACTCTTTATCTGTTTTGCTTATTAATAAAATTAACATTCATTCGCCTATTTTCTCGTGTGTATCGAATATACAACAACAACAACTTTATCGATATAGACAAGCAATAACAGGTGGTGGGTGGAAATGCCACTGTCTCATTTTTCTGCTAGATTACCAACATTTCATCATTGGTTTTCTCAGCATGACAACCCACAATAAACGTCACATATATATGTAAGAGAAAAGCAAAAAAACACGACAACACGATAAAGTGATGATATTTTTGCGACGACTCTCCCTGCTATTAGGATAGTGAATAAAAAAATAATAATAATACAAGATAAGAACGTATTTTTTTTCTTTTTCTTTTTTGCATTCTACTTTTATTCGTTTATGTTTTTTCTTGTTCTGTCCCAAGTTGAGATATTATTAGTAGAAAAAAAAACAACGATCGCGAACAATCATTTGCGGTTAGAAGAAATTTTCGAATTCCCCGAGATCCTTTCGTTCTTCATTTGCCAGCAGCAAGAAAAGCAAACGAACGCGACAAGAAAACAAAATTAGACATAGACATTTTTTTTTTGCCACTTATTAGAAAGAGTCAACAAAAAAGCATTACGATAAAAAACTCGTCGGTCTTACATGTAAGTCAATTTGTTTAATAATCTATTCAAGTGAATTCTATAACAATAATGTCATATTTATGTGCGTACGGATGTATATATATATATATCGGAGAAGAATTAATTAAATATTGAATACTCATGTCTAACGACCTTATCCTATATTGTGAGAGTTTAGTTTCATAAAAATGTCAAACTTTTTCATTTATTCGTTTGTTGACCTTCACATTTACTCAAAATAGATGCGAAACCTTCAATTTCTTTTTTTCATTCAACGCAAGCTGTATGTATGAAGGCGGAGAGAATATAATAAGATGATGGCAGCAGCTTGAGTTTCAGTAAATAGGCAATCAAACGACTTTAATCCATATATTGTCGTTCTGTTATGTGTGCACATCGAGGTATATAATACAGTGAAAGCTACTAATCCTTTGTGAATGCATTCATATCGTTTTATCATAACAAAAAACAACAGCGAAAGGGTTATGTAAATTGAGAACAGTTCACGGTGTGAGCTCTTTTTCTTCTTCTTTTTTTTCTTACGTTCTTTCATTTCGAAACAAAGACTATTTGATTTGTTATTGCTCGTCTCATCGTATTAAATTATGAAGTAGTCACTTGTATGCGCATAATGCCCAACGATTGAATATTGACGTAAAGCAATGATGCAATAAAATATTTTCTCTCTTATTCTTCTCCGTTACGATTATTTTACTAAGTCATTTATGTCTAAAAGTATTCGAGTCAAATATTTAAACCAAATTAATATAAGAACGGGCAATTGTTGCCATTTAATATACATAATATAATTCCGGTCGTATCCTATTTCCTTCTTTTGTTCACTTATTTATCCGTCTATTTGCTTCTTCTTTTTTTCTTGTTAGTTTTTTAAATGTTTCCTTATTCTAAGAATTGGATGATGACTTCTCTCTCTTTCTCTCTCGTCTTGCTTATTTGTTCTGTTTCCATTTCCTTTGTAATAGTACATTTGCTTTAAAGCAAGCAACGTTAACAATACTCTTTTGTTTATTAACATAACATTCGTAGATGTATATGTTTATGTCTAGCTATGAGCCATACTCAATGACTATAGTCTATCAGTCTAATCCTATTGATCGCCTTGCATCGTCTATACTTGTCATAGATCATCGGGCATGGTAACTGTTGTGATAGGTTGAGTGTTCCTTTTTCTCTTACGATTGTATATTTGATTAGAGAAAGAAGAGAAGAAGAAAAAAGAAAAGAAGAAGAAGAAGCAGAAGAAATAAAAAAAGAACGGAAGAAACCAAAGAAATCAATGTATGTTATTTCCAAGCTGAAGCTGATTCTTTTCTTTCATCGCTTTGCTTTGCTTTCATGTGTATTTTATGAGATGGCAAAGGAAGAAAGATTGAAGACTAGAAGAAAAAAAAAAGAAAAATATCATGAAGGAAGCAAGAAACAAAATCGGCTAGAAAAATGGGTTGCTCACATACACATGCACACCGTTTTTGCCCGTAGTCATACTCAACGCATGAGTTTGTTTCAGTAATAGAGAATGATGAGGAGCGACAGAAAGAGAAAAGGAAACAAACAAACATACAACACAATGTATGTGTATGCGTATGTCTGCCAACGAAAAACGCAAAGAATAAGTAGGAGTGATTGTCGTTTGCTTGCGCGCGCCTATTCGACATATGTTATCAGCACACCCGTAACGGAAAAAGAGTGCTTCTCTTCTCCTCATCCCCTCGTCAAAATAAGAGTGGTGGCATCAGCAAAGAGATTGTTGTTGGCATAAACAGACTATATGGTACTGTTGTTTCTATTTTCCTTCTTTTCTCTCTCTCCTCCTCACTATTACTCTTACACTTGTTACATGTAATTCATACATACATATACATATTGGTGTTCATTTGCTCATTAATTCTAGACGTTGGTTTTTTTTTCATTCGGCGTTGATTGATGTGATCGATTAAAACCAGATTAAAATTGTATGTGAGTACGTTAATACAAAATCGGTGACACAGGAAAATGAGTAACGATCAATATTATCAACATCATCCACGTACGATTATACCCGTGACGGTAAATCCTAATGATGATCAACGTTTTATACGTTTTCGTTCATCTAATACACCATCAAATGATATACCTGACCGAATGAGTGTACGCATGCGTGATTTTGAAGAAGAATGTCGACGATGGCGAGAAAATTTTTTTAATGAATCAAGATTCGATTCGAGTGGATTTCCTTCATCATCATTAGCACAGACAAGACCAAGAATGCGTCTTGATTTTCCTGATTTTCCAGAATTCGGTAGTATTGATTGGCCAACATTTCGTGGATCAGCACCAGGTTTTAGTTCAACAGCAGCATCGGGTGCAACACATCGATCATTTATTGAAGAAGACAATGATGGAAGAAAAAAATATAAAATTCAATTTGAAATTGGTAAGTCAAACAAACAAACAAAAAAAATACAAAGTTCTTTTTTTTTATTTTCTTTTAAAATAATATTGAATTATATTATTATACAGGTGAATTTAGACCTGAAGAATTAAATGTTAAAGTTGAAGGTCGTATGTTAATTGTAAAAGGTGATCGTCAAATGAAAGTTGGTAATGCAACTGAATCAAAACAATTTAATCGTGAATTAACATTACCAGAATTTATTGATGTTAAAACTTTACAATCATATTTATCTGACGATGGAATACTCACTATGGAGGCACCTGTTATTTTAGATCGTGTTTATAATAATACAGGTTCATCAACATTAACATCATCAAATCCAAATCGTCTTGTTGATACGACATTTACTAGTGGACGACAACCATTATCGAATTATGGCATTGGTAATAATCAAACAGGTTCATATTCATCGACATCATCAACATCATCATTTCGACAAGACGGTTCTGGCTTACGTGAAGCTAATAGTTTTAATCGAAACAGTCCATTACGTGATCCATATTCATCAACAAGTTCAGCGTCAACTCTTATTGGTGGTAATACTAATCAACCATCGAACACATTTTCAACACTGACATCAAGACAAAATTATTCAACTAATGATGGTTTAAAAAATGTAACATATAAATTTGATTTAAATCAATTTGTACCTGAAGATATAGCTATACAAGTTAATGATACAATGTTAAAAGTAACAGCTGTTAAACAAGAACGTGATGGACATAGTTCGACTCATCGTGAATTTCGACGTGAAATTGGTAACTTGATCTTTCTTATTTTTTGTTTTTTTCTAATTTCAAAATTCATTTCATAGGTTTACCGGATGGTGCTGAACCAAAAAGTTTAACAAATACATTAAGTGCTGATGGTATTCTAACAATACAAATTCCTGTACGTGATTATCGACCTCCGTTAACACCTACATATCAATCACAACATCATAACTTACCAACAAATATTAATACAAATGATTCATATTCATTTGGAGATCAACAACTGAAACTTACATTTGATTTAAATGGTTATAAACCCGATGATGTTAATGTTAAAGTTAATGATAATGTATTAAAAGGTAAATTTTATTTTTAAATTTAAAAAAAAAACAAAAAAAAAAAAAAAGAAACAATTTATTGTTTTATTTTTTTTCAGTTCAAGCTTCTCATGTTGATAATACAGCTGGTAATCAAATTAATCGTGAATATATGCGAGAATATGTATTACCAGATTGGGTTGATGTTGATAATTTACGAGCTAAAATGAGTGAAGATTCAACACTTACTATTGAAGCACCTATACCACATGATCGTGTATCTGCATTAAATCGTCAAATTAAGATCACGCAATAAAATGCAAACAAAAACAAAGATTATGATTATCCACAAAACACATATAGACTTCCTTCTTTTTATCTCTCTCTCTATATATCTCTGACTCCTAGTCATCTCATACTTTGCCTTTGTCTATTAATCAGCTGCATTTAGTTCTGGCTGTATCCGTGGGTATTTATAAGTTAGACAACATTGTGCTATATAGTGTTTATCCTTCCACTTATTTTTCGTTTTTTGTTTTTTATCACTTAATTGAGAGTATCGTAGTGTCTTACATCGAACAGTGTTTATTTGCCATACATTTTTTTTTCGTTCTTGACTTGAAATTTCTTTCTTTTTTTGATTTTTTTTGTTCAGTTTTGTTTTTCTTCTTCTTTTCTTTTTTGGTTCCTAATATACCTTGCGGTGTATCGAAAAAAAAAAATATTCGTTTTTTTCTTGTTTGTTTCGATTGTGATTGTTCACTTATGCATATTTGAATTGAACGATTTGTTTTGTTACACCTAGCGAGGGATATTTTATGCAGAATATTTTCTATTGGCACTATTTGAATTATTATTTGTTGAGCGATATGAACTGTTTTTTTTTTCGATACAATAAATTGCCCATTTTATTCTTGAAAATATTGTTGTTCTCTTATACAAAAATGTTTATGAATGATTTCCTAAGAATTTTATCTTCGCTTCTAACGAAGCAAAGCTTAATAGAAATAATTTATTCAATTTGTTGAATATGTGTTTTGAATAGTATAAAGATTGTATTTACAGAGTGAATCGATTTTTAAATTTCAAAAATAATTATAGAAAATAAAAATAATTCTGTAATTGAATATTACTACAATGAAGATTTGATTAGAATGATATATATATGGCATATATTTTAGATTCTAGTAAATACTCGTCACTAATAAATCTCTCTTAACTTTGTCAAAATCTATTGACTTTATATTTTCAAACGAAAATAATTGATAAATGAATTTTCGAATGACAAAACTTTTACCAAAACACTATATTACGATTCAATGAATGATCAACTACACACACGAAACATCCACAAAAATTATCTTGTCTTCATGCTAATTTCTCAAATCTATTTAGGAGAACCTATTAAAAAAAAAACTCAATAGGATCAGTTATAAAAATAAATATTTTCATCAAGAACAAATTCCAGTGTGCTTTTAAAAATAATCATAATCTAAATATTTACTCTAAAGATCTCAAAAACTCGATATAAACACAATCGAGTAATACGATCAATTTCAAAGTAAATTTAGAATAAATATTTTTTTTGTCGTATAGATCTAATACATTATTTCATCATACAATATGATAAAATAAGAATATTTACTTAATATAAGATTCAATTCTATATAGTATAAATATAATCGAATGGAAAGTACAATCAGCATATATTATCATATATGCATTATAATAGAGAATAATCGATAAAGTTCTATAAGAGTTTCATTATGTTAGAAATACTCAATTGGCGTAAATTTTACTGTGTAGATTATAATTTTATTCTCTTTCTATTTATTCAAATATTGAATATTCATTTTAGAAAAAAAGGAATAAATACAAAATTTGAACAATAGAATTATTGATTGTTGTTTATGGAATATAATTCAATTAAATTTTTTTTTTTATATCTACAAAATTAATCATGTCAAATAAATGAAAGAAAAATAAAATATGTGCTTTTTCTTTATCAACTGTTGTGCAATATGCAAATAAATTATGAAGACTTTGATTTACATAATTTATGACCAAATGTTCTTCTTTCACATTTTCAATCAACTCACTAGTTAATAAAAGTATTATTGATTTTTGAATTATATTCATACTATGCTTAGTGATCATCGAATTGTCTTCTATATATGTCGATATTTTAATTTATATTATTAATAATAATAACTTGAAATTATTCATCAACAAAATTTATTTATAATTTCATCTAGAAAATCTTGTATATTTTTTCGCTAGAATGAACATTCAATTTATTATAATCGAAATAAAATCTTTTTAATTCTTTAAACTATGAAATAAATTAAACAAAAAGAAAAAGACAATTCAATTAATTTATAATAGCCTTGAACATCAATCATCGAGATACCTTCTGAAATCTTTATCATACAACGTAAATGTGCTGCAATATAGTCAAAATAAACAAATAATAATCATCAATAAACCATACTATAACATCCATTTTTCATGTTTTTTTATTTGTTCCATTAACTACACTAACGATCGTTCTTAATATTCTTCACCGGATGCTAATCGTTTCGTTTGATGATGATGGATATTGACAACGAACTATTCATCTTTACCTTATCTACCAGATATCAAATAAAACTCAAATGATCTGAAGGACACTTTATCTTTTTAATGTTTCATAAAAAAACACAGTGAACAGCAATAACAAAAAGAAAGAAAACACATTGTTCACATGTATGTTTGAAGACGCTCTTTTGATGTAACCAATACATATAACGATGATGCTCCAAAACCATATAAACTTCCTCGTAGAGCACTTTTCAAACCAGCTGTTGATCGATATAATAGACCAGTAAGACTCCCACTTGCGACTGTATTTAATTCGTCATCAATACCACGAGTCAAACTAATACCTGTACCGATTAAACTATAAATAAGTGCTTCAAAGAAAAAAAATGCAAAAATATCATTTCACATCACTGTCATTAATCGAAAAAAATCTTACCAATAGAACCCATAGCAGAAGCAGTAGTAGCACCTTGACGTGCAATATAATTAATAATTCTAAAAGAAAAATATCATAATAATAGAAAAGTAAATTCTTTAATTTTAAACTTACGATGAAGTTCGTATAGATCCAGTTAAATCTCGAGTTTCACGAATACCTCGATAAAATCCTGACATACTACCAATCATACTACCTAGAAAAACAAAACAAAACAAAACAAATATATTATAATTTAATTTTTCTTTCTCATTTTTTTCACCGGCAATAACGGCACCACCGATTGTAAAAAACATTAATTCAAGTCGACCCCGTTTTTCTTTTTGTCCTTCAGGTAGAATAAATTGCGAACCATTCTAAAATTATTCTTAGTATATATTTCTTACATATGAAGAAATCCTATCTATTTACTGGATTCAATAATTTCGGATCAAAATTCAAATATGGTGATAATGAATTCATGCCCGATGTAGAATGAACTAATAAAAACAAAGTTAAGTTTAATTTTCGAAAGATAAAATCTCTTTAGTGTATTATTATGTACCAGGTACTGATTCATTCATATAATGATTTCCAAATAGACTAAAACCACCTTTATTTGAATCCATGAGAGTCTAGAAAAACACAAATCAAGATTAATTATCAAATAGTTTGTTTTATTTTCTTCTTCTTCTTCTTAGAAATAGATATCTACAATAGATCTTATTCACACAAATAGTTTTTAAAGAACAAAAAAATTATTCAGATCCCCGAAATGAACATTAAAAGGTAAAATACAAAAAAACAAAAACAAAACGATTGTCTAATGAACTATCAGATACAAAAGAAGAGACAACTGTTTGAAAGATTTGACGAAATATTTCTATTTTGTGTAGTTTTTTTTTTTTTGGTTTTAGTCTATTTTATATAAAATAGTATCTAAATACATGGTTGAAATAAAATAAAACGAAAATTTTATATCAACAAAAAATAAAATAAAAATATATCACACAAATAAATAGTGATTGAGAAAAAAAGATCGTAAAACAGGCTAATTGCTGAATTCAGGATTTTCGCCTATATATTCATTTTCAAGACGATATTGCAATAGAAGAAATGATGGACGATTTTCAGGTTCTCCATTCCAACATTCAAACATTATTGCATATAATGATGATGGACAATTTGATGGTTGAGGTAAACGATAACCTTGATCGACTCGTCGTAATACTTCAGCATTAGTCATACCTGGGTATGGTGTACGACCATATGTAACTAATTCTGTTAATAATATACCATATGACCAAACCTAAATAAATATTGATAGAAAGAATAATAAAACAAAAAGAAAACCCATGAGACATTGTATTTACATCGCTTTTTATGGTAAATCGATTGTAAAGTGCAGCTTCAGGTGCAGTCCATTTTATGGGAAATTTTGTGCCTTCTTTTGCTTCATACATACCTCCGGCATATTCCTATAATTAATGAATTATTATTTATGTTTCATTAAAGTTATATAAAAATAAAGAATAAAATACATCATTTGATTTAAGAGTATATTTATAATGTTTTTAATTAAAATTTATATGAAGTTTTATAAAAATTTATGATAGAATCAAGAGTAATTTGTTTAAGAGTTTTTGAAATTTTCATTCTTAAAATATGAAATTCTAACTAACAATTAAAGTTACTGAGACCTTGAATCTTTGCAGGAAAAAAAAATTATTAATCTAAATACTTCTCATATTTTAATTCGAACTAATTTATATATAAAACGTAAAAGATAGAACTTCTCTTGATTTTTTTTCATTCAAACCTTAATAATTCGTGCTAAGCCAAAATCAGCTATTTTAACCGTATTATTTTCACCGACTAGAACATTTCGAGCAGCAAGATCTATAATAAACATATAAATTATGAAAAAGAATTTCATTCAATAAACTAGTCAAATTACCTCGATGAATATAATTCTGTTGTTCTAAATAAGCCATGCCACGTGCAATTTGTGTTGCTATATAAATTATTATTGACATTTTAAGTTGTCGACCTCGAGGGCCTAAATTCCAATAAGAAAAACTATGTATGTAAAAACAAAATACCAATTTACTTTGTAAATAATCAAGAAGACTTCCATTTCGCATTAATTCTGTAACAATATAAATTGGTTCTTCAATTGTACACACAGCATATAATTGAATTAAATTTGGATGTTTAAGTTTTTTCATTATTGAAGCTTCAGCCAGAAAATCCGTTGGATTCATTGAACCTAATATATATATATATGTTTTTAAATAAATCTCAAAAAAAAAAAAAAAATAGAAGAAAATTCAAACCTGATTTGAGTGTTTTAATTGCAACAGGCATACGATTATTCCATAAACCTTCCCAAACATCACCAAATTGTCCACTACCAAGACTTCGAATTAAATTAAATTCACGACGATCAATTTCCCATTTATCAACAAGATTATGTGATAAACCATCTGGTTCAGGTTTAATAGTCTATTCAAGATGATTTTATTTTACAAGAATAAAATAAATATAAATAGTATATTTACATGTAGACAAGGTTTTCTTAAATTAACACATAAACCATCTGACATTATGGCATAATGATTAACAAGTTCTAGTACAGAATGAAATGTTATACGACGTGCTATATAAAATCGACCATCTTCTGTTTGTCTTATTCTATAGTGTTTTATTGAATCATTATCTCGAACTTAACAATAAATAATATTTTCAATTTAACTAAAAGATTAAAAAAGAAAATTTTTTTTAATTTACTCGATAAAGAAAAATCAGTTGGTCTCGTTTCACTAGCTCTAATCTAAAGTAGAAGAAAAATAAAATATAACATATATATATATTTCATTATTATAATAACATACAAGAAAACTTCCATGATCATTACTATCCGACATAAGTTGTTTTTCAGCATCGATTCGACGTATCGATTTAAAATACCATCTAATTAAAAAAAAGTAAATATAAAACAGCAAATTGGAATTTTCTTTTTTTTTTTCAAATAATTAAATTTAAAAAAAAAACATACGGTTCAGATTCTAAACTATCTCGTTTAGCAACATAATTTGCTGGAATCCAACCTTCTTGTCCATGTTCATTTTTTGCTTTCCACCAAGCATGTTTTTTTTTATTTGTTATTTCAAGTAAATCACTTTTTCTTATTGTTAAATCATCTTTTGTTCGTGCATCATAATCATATATAGCTACATATTGAAAATGACTATTATCATTGACTAATTTAGAAATAATTGGTGAAGTTGTTGTTGATGATGAATTTGATGCACCTGATGATGATGAACTTCTTACTGCTATATTATTTCGATTTGATTTTGGATGATTTAATGCAGATAATGTTGTTATTGGTGAACCGGGTGGTGAAATGATTGGTTGTTGAAAAACAACTGGTACTAAAAGTGATGAATTTGATGTACTTATTCTTGGTGAACTGATGTTATTTCGATTTTGTGCTATATTAGAGTCATTGTTTTGTTGTAGTTTGATTGATGATGGACGGCCAGAGTCGATCAAGTTTCCCATGTCTTTCTAAAATAGAAAATATTTCTTTAAAAAAAAAAACAATTTTTCCAAAAAAAAGAAAAAATATATATATTGAAATTCTATCTGTTCTTCTATGACAATAAAACAATATCCTGATTGAAAGACTTACGTCATTTGGTTCTTTTCGTCCTGTCACTTCTTGTAGTCGTAGTTCAGCTTTACGAGCTATTTCTCGTACATTTCGCTGTGCTTGTTCAACAAGTGAAGCTGCATCAACATGTTCAGCTAAATAATTTTTAGTTGATTTAAAACCATCTTGGAAAAATTGTTGTACACGTGCTTTGTAAGCTTCTGCCATTAGATATTATTTGCATTCACAGGGATGTTTTTTTTTTCTTACATACGATCTCTGTGTCTTCAAGTAAGCACACAATTTAATGAATGTGCTCAGCTTGCAATGTCACAATTTAGGTTTTTTTTTTTTCTGTTTTAATAATACGTTTTGTGTGTTTGTGTACAGTACGCAAAAGTCAAAGTCGACGACGATAAATGAAGAAATAAGGTAAGAAGAAGAGAAAAAAAATGAGTAAAGTAACCATTTCTTTTTTTAATAGCAGCTGCTGCAGCTTCTTTCTTTTTCTTTGATAATAGTAAATAAATCTTTGCACATCGTGATTTTTTTACCTATGCTTCAATGTTGCAATAAGACAATCATTATTACGATGAACAGATTTATCGTATTGTATTCAACAAATTAGTCATTTGTTTTTTTCCTTATTTTATGAGTAATCGGTTGTTTAGTGTGGGCGTTTTACGGCGTCATTTATTAGACAAAGAACCGACGGACAAACTCTGATTTAATTTTACCATTAAGTACATTACAAGGAAAAAAAAGAAAAAATTCAATGTAATGATTTACCTGTTATTTTTTCAATGGATCGGCTTGATCATTGATCAGTTTCGATGACCAAATGATCTAAAATTGAACAAAATAAAATCTAGTTGCGCGTCCCGTTTTTTTTTCTTCATCTCCTTCGTACATAGAGAATACTCGAGAGTAGAGAGTACGCAAACATAATGATAATACGCTCTATGTTCTTTTTTTTTTTCTTCTTCTTATTCGAGCAAATGCTCATATTGCCTGTGTGCTCTTTGTATTACGAGATTTATTAGTTGACATTGAATGTGTATAACTCCCTTGGATTCTCTCTCGCGCGCTCTTATTTTTAAATCTAGATATCAATGAAAAAAATATATTTGATAAAATGTACAAGAAAGATCATAAGAAAAAAAAAAGAACTTGAAAATTGATATTCATCTCTTTTTTTGACAAAAAAATATGGCACACCCTTGCTCTTTCGTTAAATATGTGTTAGGAAAAAGAAAAGAGTAAAGAATGAAAAATGAGCTCAAACTCAATATGATAATGTCTATTGTCCCGACTACAAACCTTGACCTTCTTTGAGCATAATATCATTTTTGTTGTATTCATAGCGGATGTTGCTTTACCTCGACAGATAGCAAACATACTTCTAAGAATAATAAACAAATCTAGAGTATGTATATTAGAAAAAAAAAAAGAGCCAAGGAAGAAAAAAGAAAGAGAAATGTATTGACCTCGAAAATTCGTCTTGACTATTTTTTAATGATTAATATAAAAGAAAAAAATTGAAAAAAATTAGTAGATGTAGTAATCTATGAAAAATAAATGTTCTAGAAGAAAAAAAAAGTCGAATAAATTTTATATAATGACATAGAAAACTATTAGATGAATTAAACGACTTGGATCGTAAAATACATTATGAACATGAACATTTGAAATTTTACTTTTGAAATATTTTATTGGTAGTCAATTATACGAATATATTTTACATAGAGAATAGGAGATGTCACCATTGAACAGTTTAAAAATAAAAAACGATTCGATTGAAATTCTTTTTCTACTTTCACATAACATACTACAAAACAAAAATCAATTAACAGAATAGAGTTTATTCAAGATTAATTTACGTATAGTTTTGAAGAAAATAGTGAGCATAAGTTTAAATCGAGGCTTCTACAGTTACTTCCTAGGTCCTTGTAATCGGGTGTAAGAGGAGAAAAGTCAATGAGTATTAGGTACATTTCTCTTGGAACGAAAAAAAGGTGTGTCAGTAATAATAGTGTTTAATTCATTCTGAAATTTTTTAGAATCTTCCCAAACATGTCTAACCTGAAACTTGAATTTAATTATTCGACCCTTATGCTTAGATATTCAAATATTAAAACTATTCACAAAAACACACACACGCAGTATCTCTGTTGGAATATCTGAATATTTGAATTGAATAATTAAACAGTATTGGTTTCCATCTGATGGATTGATTTTGTCTCTATGTTTTCAAGATGAATACTATGCATAATTTATCATCCAACCGAATGTCAATCACATTCAAATGAAAGTCAAGATCAAAATCGAGTAGAAAAAGAAGATTTATTTCGATGGTAACTACCGAATGAGACAATCCGAATTGATAGTCACTGAGAAATAACTATTATTCAATCGTCGTACAAAATAGTTCAACACGGTGTGTACTTAGATAAAAACAAATCTTTGCCAAGATTCTTTCTCGCACCTATCGCAATCAATATATTATTTGGAAATGTATTTTCATTTTTTGAGTTCGATGCATCACAAAAGGGTTTTTTGTGAATAAAATTTCCGTGAAAGAAATATTGAGTGAAATGAACCTTTCCAATTAATTTCGCAGAAAATGATTGAACTGAGTCATTTTTCTTTATATATTTCATTATACGTCTGTCATGTACACATGCTACCTTGCATTGTTCTTCTCAATCTTATCTCACTATTTACTCTTTTCACTAATGGCTACGAATATCGCCAAAGACACAAAATACTATGATTTGCTTGGTATTAATCCTGATTCTAGTTCAGATGAAATCAGAAAAGTATATCGGATATTAATTTTGAAATTCAGTTCGCCAAAATATGGTGATCGTTATGCGGAACGAATCAAACAAATTACAAAAGCATGTAAGTTAACACGAATGAGAAATGACTCGTTCAGAAAAAAACGCATCTTTTCTTGCAGATATGATACTATCTGACGAGAAACAACGTGCATTGTACGATCGAGTAGGCGAACAAGGAATGATAGAAAGTACAGATGCAGATCCCTTTAATTCTGAAACGCTTTTTGATCGTGACCGAGATTGTAAAACTTCATAACAATACTTCGATTTGTTATGTCTTCTTTATAAATTTTAGAAATACAATACTATTGATGGTTATACGTCCATCTCTTTTCCTCAAAGATGATATTCGTGGTTATTACTGTCTCTAATATTAGTACGTCTCATTCCATATCATTCGTACATAATGAAAAGAGGTGAGGTATCAACTAGTTACTTCATGGACAGCCAAGACTCATCTTTTAGAAAGCTTTTGTAATTATAATTGCATCATGCTTCGAATTGAGTTGCAAAAGGATATAACTCTAGATATGCGAAAACAGTATCATTGAAACATCATTGATAGTTTATTCTGTCGAACTTGAATATTCATTTATTTGATATGTGAGTTTCGCAAAATGTTTTGAATGGGCTGAATTTCGATCACATACAAAAAACTTCTATAAAACTCTGGTTACTCCATCGTGAAATTAATATGTGACAACACATTCAGAATAGAATAACGAAAATTATTAACTCATGAATAAATCTCAAAGTTGAATTTTTTTACGAAGATGAACTGTTCTTGATAGATGGAGAATGTCGAAATCTAGATGAAATTCACTGGTTGGTCGAACTTTGACAAGGTGGTTTCAATACGATTATGAAGTTGAGAATGATTTTGAGGCAGTTAATTTCATTTAATTTGAATGGCGCGTCGTTAAAAGACGGAAGTCGTAGAACGTTTTGTCTTTGTTTTGATAGACCTGATTCATGTTGTTCTAAACAATCACTAGATCTAGTTGTTTTAGACGGTATCATCTTTGCAAGATTGAGAGCTTCATTTGATAAATCTCGATTACTATGGAATATTCTCTCATTTTGTGAGGAATTGGAACGATATTATTGTACATCAAATATAAAAAAACTGAGGTGATAAACTAAGAAAGTAACTGTTATCGTTGTTCTGTGTAGTTTGAAGACAAAAACAGATATATTTTTACGAATTGCAACAAAATCATGATGACATTTGATTAATAGCTTTCAAAAAATAAGATCAAATTGAGTTATATTTTTTTTTGTAGCTCATTTCAATTTATTATTTCATTTCATCTCGTCAGCTGATTTCATCTTCTAAAGTTTCTTTCAAGGGCGGAGTTGCATGCGATGAAGTATCAATTTTCATCTTTGGCGAAAAAAGATGAATGAATCCGTCAAGATCAAATTCATTTGGTAAAGTATCAATTGTATTCATTTGTTCGTTAAAAATATCAAGAGTTCGAAAAGCTTCATGGAGTTCATCTAGACGAAACAAAAAAATCATATCTGTCTTGCATTCTTATTATTTTAATTAAGTTAATCAATACTTACCTAGTGTCATTTTCTCACCATCTGTCATCTATAAAGATATGGAAGAAGATATGTTACAGAAAAAAAAATATATTAACACGTACAAGAGTTTGTATAAGTGAATGAATATTAATTTTAGAATTTTTTGATAATTTATATTCATTAAAAACTGATTTAAGTATATCATGAATCGATGTTTGAAGAGTATTATTAGCAAAATGATTATAATAAATTCGAATTGTTTCATAAAAATCAATTTTTATTTTATATGGATCAAGAATATTTTTCTTAAAACATTGTTCATCATATAATTCTTGTATTTGACGTTCAGATATATAAATACCAAGTGTACGAATAAAATCTGTAATTAATGGTAATGAAATAACTTGTTCAATTTTTAAATTACTTGCATCCTGTAATTGAATATAATAAAATAATGATTCAAATTTTTGTAATTCTAAATTTGATTCTAACGTTTTATTTTCTAAATGCTTTTCCATTGAAATCATATCAAATTTCCATATAAATATACAATTATCTTTTTCACCACATGAAATTAAAAGATTATGACATGATGTTACATCAAATAAACGTACACCAGTTGGATGAGCTAAAATAATATCATATTCATTTGGATGACCTGTTCCAGGTAATTTCATTACACCAATTTTATTTAATGTTCGATAAGCAAGATAAGATCTAGTAACAATATCTTCACAATTATTTAGCCAGACTTTAATCTGAACAAAAAAAAAAAAAAAAAAAATTGTTTTTTCATACAATGAAAATAAAAAAAAATCTTTTTTTTTACTTGTTGAAATGAAGAATGCAATGCTTGAACTGTATGTCGACATTTTTTTGAATTAATATCAAAAAATTTTATTCGTCCATTATTAATTGAACATACGAGATAATCAGTTTTTGTATCAATAGAATAAAGAACTATAGATGATATATATGATGGATATTCAACAAGATTTATCTGAGTTTGTATTATAAATGGATATTGTCGTTGATAATCAATACAATATTCAATAAGATAACCATCACTATTACAAGAAAATAATCGTTGTTTTTTTGTATATCGATCTTCTGTAAATAATATTGCAGTTATATTATTCAAATGGTTCATACAATGACCATGATTATGATAAATATGAGATTTATGTTCATCTTGAACATAAAGTGTAATACCCTTTGACGAAGATTAGATATTTATTAATGATGAATGAATAAAAACTTACAGTATCAAGACTAACAGCAGCTAGAAAAATTGTATTTGGAGAAAATTGAAGCAAAGTTACAGATGATTGAGAATTATATAAAGGATGATTGTTAATTGGATTATATGTAGCAGCTATAAATCAAGGATTAGTTTTTAAACATTTATTGAAAAATCTTTTATTTCGAAAGCTTTATTTTTATACGTTGATTAAATGACAGTCGCCATTACTTTCGCTTGAAAAAAATCATTCAAACCGGAGAATGAAATAAATGAGAAAACTTTATTCGGATTCGATTCGACTGACGACGGAATTCCTTGAGATTTCCCGTTCTGATTTCAATATTTTTCTTTGCTTATATATATTACACAATGTTCCTAAAAAGACTTGGGTTTCTATTGAGATTTGACTAATTATGGAAGCTAATCTAATTAAGTTCTCTATCTGAGCAAAGTTTCAGATCAAAATTCGGCAATACGAGTTTTGCGAAAATCTGAGGCTCCGAGAAAAAAATTCAATATCTTAGTGAAATCTTCATAGAAACGTAAATCCTTGTAGGATTTTTTATTACAACATTATTTAGGATCTATAGGCAAAAAAACTCGTTAAAATCGAAAGGAGATATTTAAGGATGTTTCCTCGTAAGTCAAAAAGAATTATTCATTTATTCAATTAGGTTTCAAACTACTCATAGATAAGCGATTATTTTACTGATAAATTCTAAGATTTTCATACCATCATATAACCAAATCAAACCATTGTCTAAACCGATGGCTAAATGTGAACATTTTTTATTAAGAACCAATTTAGATATTCCAATACTAGTTGAAGTTGATATGAACTTGTCAAGAAATAAAGTACGTTCTTAACAAAAGTTTATAGATTTTTTTATGTAAAATTTTTCTAAATATAACATACCTTCACCATGCCAAGCATAGAGATGTCCTATTGAAGTACCTATATAAATGATAGGTAATGTTGAGCTAAGACAAATGTCAGTAATTTGACCCATAGGTATTGTTTGAACAATTTTAACTAGAAAAAATTTTCATCTTGTTACTATTTGTTTAAACAAACAAAGACATACTTAGAGAAAAATTTCGTTGTGTAACAACAATTGTCTTGAAATAGTTTATATTATTACATGTATAAAATTAGTCTAAATCCTACCTACATGATTTGATTGACATATTACTTCATCAAGTTCAAATGATTGACTTTTAGTATGAAGTTTATTAGACCATGGTTTATTTGTTAATTTTTCTTCTTCATTCTGATCAGATTCATTGATACTAATATTAATAATAGGACCTATATTTAATGATGAATATTGTTTAATAAAATGTAAATTATAATCAAAAACAGCAACTTGTGATTGAGCTGTTCCAATAATAATATGATCATTGAACCATTCAATACATGTTATATCACGTTTTAAATCATGTAAACGTTTCATGATTGTTACTTCAGGCATATAGATTTGTTGTTCAATTGAAGATGAAAGATTTGATGAATGAAAAGATAAAGTACTTGGCAACGAGCCTGTCAGTACATTATTTCGATCTATCATAGTTGATGTCATCATTGTCTGTTGTCGTTGTCCAATCGATGATGTTGCATGTGCATATTCGACTTCGAAAAAAACGGCTTTACCTATATGAGAACATTAGAATTGTTATTGATGTTTTTTTTTCCTATTCATTACCAGTTGATGTAATTATGACTGCTTCACGTTTGCCTGGAATCATATAACAAAAAATAATTGAACTAATACGTTGACCAAGTTTTTGTTGTATACCAGAATGAATTTCTAACTTAACATGATCAGCATCTTTATTAGGAACTAAAATTTCGATTACACACATAAATGAAATTACTTTCATATACTTTTAAGATTACTATAAAAAATAACAGAATCTATTCCAATAGTACAAAAATATGAACGATCTTCAATCATTGTAAACCATGATTGACGTTCACAAACAGTTGGAATTATTGGTAATACAATTGGATTAACATCATTATTAGACCAACGCCATAGTATTATATGTTGATTTGGTATTTCAGTTAATATACTAATTAATTTTCCATCACGTGATATATATACACGAATAAGACCTATATCATGTATATTTGTTAAATATTTGACAGGTTTTAATGTATAAGTATTCCAAACAATTAAAAATGTTTCTGGTATTGATTCAACTGTTACTAACCATTGTTTATCATGTGAAACTGCTGCACTTACAATATTCGAAATATGTCCTTGTAAAAGTGTTTGTGTTTTTTCACTTCCTGTTCCTATAATACCAACATTACCAGCAGCATAGAAATATCTAGTTTTGCCATTAATAGATAGATTGAGTAATGGTACATTATTATTCATACCAATAGTCCAATTGAGGGATAATGATGAATGATTATTATTTTGAAAAAGATCTTCATCACTATGAGATTTAACAATTGTTTGTACAGAGATTTTATCTAACGAAAATAAGGATGGAGAAATATTATCATTTGTCTGAGTGTCTTTTACTTGAGGTAAAGTCATGAGTAAGTTTGATAGAACAAATAATTAACAATGGCATAGAATAACAAAGTACATGAGTTATGGCGCTAAATCATATTTCTTGAGTATATGTCAAATGAGATTTATTAAAAGAATTTTCTCTCATTTTGATTTCTTATTAAAGTCTTTCATCGAACTTTAAAATTTGGAGTTATGCTATTAAAACAATCAAGCATCTTTATTCTTACTAGATATGTTCATGGAGACACCCTTGAGGTGATACTCCAATACTTTTCTTCACAGAGGCCAACTTCTGTTCATTTATTTTCCTATTCATATTCGAGGAACAGAAACGGCTTGCATCATCGATTGTTTTCAGAAGAACTCAAATTAGTGATCAGATCTTTTCAAAAGAGCTGTCCACCCATGATGCTCTTGGTCGGAAATAAACTAAATATTTAAAAACCTAATCTCTTCATCGATATCTCTGACTCTTATTTATAGCAATAAGGTTATTCTTCGTATGTTTAAGTAATGAACAGCAAATACACTACTTTACAGATTCATGAATTTCAAGAAAACGAAAATCATCAGAGAAACATTCTCGTTAACAAGTAACACTAAAAGAAGTATATATTCTGATCAAAAAAAATAATTTCCAGAGTTTGCCGGAACCAAACAGTTTAATTCTGTAGGGCTCTACTTGTCATATAGGAGTATATAATTGATGAATGATAATAGAATTGTTCATAATATAGTAAAACCTTTTTATTCTTAACACTGAGAACTTATTTCTGATTCCATGAGCAATAATAACCTCTGTGAGGTGAGCAACATATGTTCTATCAATTCATGTACAAAAGGCAAAAAAAAATGATGGTTTATGTATTGCGCTATGATAAAACAACCATAGGACACAAAAAGATGATATATTAATCAAGCATATTTAAAAGAAAAAAAAAACAAGATTAGATAACAGCAATAGTGTTTGATGTCATATCTCGTCTTTTTTGTGTTAACAACTAGTAGCATCAAGTCATGTCAACGCGTGTTGATTTATTTCCGATTAAAAAAGTTAATTTAATAGATTGTTCGGAAGAAGAAAAAGATCACCTTGTACAACCGACAACAGACTGTAAGAAAAATCTAAAAAATTTCGTAATGAGAAGCATCTTCGTAAAGTGAACAGTTTTGGTCGATCCCGATGGTACCTACATTAGAAAAATTTTACTGTCATACACTATGATAGATGGCGTCCATAATTGATAGCATCTATAATAAAAGTATCTTAAAACTAAGAAGAGTTTAAAAAACAAATAATTAATATTATATTCACATAGATTTCATTATTTTATTGTTATTTTATGCTTGACTACATTAGAGGTTCCATCGAAACAGTATCCACTATGAAATGTTGCATGTTGACACAGTAGTACTGACACATCATTTCTCTTCTTCCTTCCACTCATCGAAAAAATCTGTCATTCTTCCTTTTCTTCTTCCTCAACTATAATTCTATATAATGTTGTGCTTATGATAATTCAGCTGCCTATTCTTTCGTGATTACCTACTTTTTTCTTGTTTAGTTTGTTATTTGTTACTAAACTACACTTCAAATCATCACTATTATTTATTATATATTCATTATGGTAATCAATGAATGAAATAAAATTTCAAGACAAATAATTTTTGTTTTTAGGGACTGCTTGATTTCATACGAAGTTTTCGTGCAACAACTCAACAAGAACTACGTATTTTACTTTTAGGCCTTGATAATGCTGGAAAAGTAAGACATTTGAAAATATGTATACATAAAAAGAAAATTGTTTTCTTATTTTAGACCACATTACTCAAAGTTCTAGCTTCTGAAGATATTTCACACATAACACCTACACAAGGTTTTAATATTAAAAGTGTACAGTCCAGTGGTTTTAAACTTAATGTATGGGATATTGGTAAAGAATTCTGATTGAATATCTTTTCAACTGAATACTTTTTTGTTTTTATTTTAAAGGTGGTCAACGTAGAATAAGACCATATTGGCGCAATTACTTCGACAATACCGATGTTTTAGTAAGTTGATATTAATCAAAAAAATTTTTTTTTGTTTTTTTTTCTTTTTCATGATTAATTTTATTTTCTTCTATGTAGATATATGTTATTGACAGTTCTGATCGAAAACGTTTTGATGAAACAAATCAAGTATGTTTTTCAGATATATAATTGAAAATTTATTCTTACTATAAATTTCTATAGGAATTGTGTGAATTATTAGAAGAAGAAAAATTACGTGGTGTACCTTTATTAATTTTTGCTAATAAACAAGATTTATTGAATGCTGCTAAAGCGTCTGATATAACTGATGGTTTATCATTACATCAAATACGTGATCGACGTTGGCAAATACAGGGTTGTTCAGCACATACAAAAGAAGGTGTCAAAGTAAGGAAAAATTTCTTTGTTTCATTGTTTTAAATAAATTTCTTTCTAATCGATGGTTTTCGTTTTTAGGAAGGTCTTGAGTGGATATCAAAAACAATTGCTAGTAATAAAAAGAAATAGAAAAAAAACAATACAAACTCGTTTTTTGTTTCATGTTGAATACATAGTGTGCGTGTGTTTCTATATTTCGTCATAAAAAAGAGAGAGAAATCTAATACCATGCATCAACTTATTGTTAATAAGTATTCGAAGAATATTTTTATTTATAGAGTCGAAATATACGTGTTTTGTTTCTAACCTTTTTTTTAAATTATTGCCGAGTGTAGGACATGCTCAATATGTCTTATTTAAATAAAATCGAATGTTGTAGCTTTTTATGTACGTACTATGTGTATATGTGTATGTGTTTTGAAGCTTTTTGGAAATGGTGAACAGTATATGTACGAATGATTTTGTCAATATTGCTTTTTATACAAGAAACACTACAAATAAAAACATAGTTTTCATTTTCTTCTTATAAATGAATTCTGTTTGTATTAACTTTAGAAAGAACTTTAACAGTGAGATAGACATATATCAATCTTCCACTGGATTACCACCGGAAAAGTTATTTCAAGCATGAGCAAAGTAAAAAACAAAATAACATAGCATGTTTAGATATAATACCAGAAGTAAGGTGACAAATCTTTACTGTTGTTTTAGAAAGAAAAAAAAAGCATGTTTGATTCTGATCGTTGAAAAATAGATATAAAATAGTTCTTAAGCCTTCCCTCAAATTGATCTTGGGTCACGTGCATGCAAATTGCATGAAGTTTTCAGGAGACATTCAACAAACAAGGGTGATTCATAGCTTATTTGGCAATCCTAAATTTGCTGTGGACTCATTCTATAGAGCTCGCAGGACTGCAGTGTCTTTTTTTTTTAAATTCTTACCTTTTTTATATAATAATAAAAAAAATTGAGCATTGCGGCTTCACATACTCTCCGAAACAAAAAAAAAGCGATTGGCTATAATAAAGGCCCTTTGAGAATTTCGAGATGTACAATCAGAAAGATATATTTTTCAAGCAAAAGGTAACCGAAATCATTAAACATTTTGAGAAAAAGTAAGGTACCAAATAAATCATACAATATTTATTAGAACAAAACGGAAAATGTCGAAAATTCTTGATGAAAAACTTTTCCTAAGTCTTGATCAATAGAATGCAATATGGCATGTATCCTAACAGAATAACATTGAGAATGACGACATAACCTGTGTCAAAAAAGAATTTGAATTTGTGACATTGTTCGTTCGATATTTAGCCAGCAAACGGCTTCAAACTTATTCCATTGGGATTATCTTGTATAAGTTTACTGAAAATTGAATTTTCTCTTGGTTATAGAAAGACCGAAAGGAAAAATGTTGAGAAATTTGATGTGTCCAGGGTGTAGCGCTTTTTGATCTCAATGATGTTTTAATATATTCAGTCGATGTTGTTATATGTCGTAGCTAAATCTGGATGACTTGAAGGAAGTGTTTTTTGGTAGATTTCAAGCGCTTTTTCATAATTGTCTTGATTATTTTTAATGCTTCCAAGTCGATAATAAATATCTGCTTAATCTTTTGCACTAAATGTTTCCTGTGGAACAACTGAATATACTTGTTCTGCTCTGTCAAATTGACCTAGTTTTTAAAGTAATACCATCGTTTTGCGCCCAGTGATGTCTCTTCTCGTATTTGTTCGATTACAACTTGCACTTCTTGATCATTGTCACTCAACAAAGTCCATTATTATTCTCAATTTTCTTGATTTGATCAATGCAAAATATACTATGCATGGAGAAAAGAACCTTTAGTTCTGCATCGATATAACTGAAACCATCGATGAGTGTAAAAGGCGTGGATGAAGACAATGGGCCAATGATCATTTCGAAAAGAATGCCATCATAATCAGTTTTCATCAAAGTACATTTTGCAAAAGCGAGTGAAACCTCTTATATTTTTCTTTTAGATAAGAAATTATTGAATGACATGAGTCCACCATTCTTTTTTTTGCATTTTTCCAAGTTCTGTATTAATAAACCTTGTTCACTATATACGTTGAAGATTATTTTCTGATGTTTACCAAATTGATGTGAATGAAGTGCTTCAGTTAGGCGATGCAAATTATGAATAAAGAAACCCATCTTCATGATAATATCGGATTCCAGAGTACGATACGTTGTGCTCGATTGAGGGTATGGGTGCGAATCTTTTTTCTTTACCCATGGCTACATCCACACCCATACCCATACTCAAACTAGGGGCGTAACCAGAAAAAGCTGTAGAGGGGGCCCAGCCCCCCCCCCCCCCCCCTCCCCCCACCACTTTGTCTGCCGAGCCACAACNTATCATATATTTATGCTATTTTACATCCTTTCATATTTAGTTCGATTCTTTTGATTTATTTCATTTGATGATGTATTATAATACATTTTCATAATTATATAGCTGTATAATAAACGATAAAATAAAGCATGATAATATTGTTCTAGTTTCTTTGTCATAGTAGAAGCGACTAGTATTAAACTTCATAGTTATTTTAGCACTAAGTAAGTCAAATAATTTATAAAAGTTT